GACCTGACTGTATATTCTGATTTATAGTTCCTAGAAGACAGCCTTGTACAAGTTTAAGTCACTCAACACAAACCACTCATGTGCAGGTGTTGGGACAGTTCACCAAGCACAGCAGGGAAGGAATACATTTCCCTCATCAACAGTTACTTTGATGATGGGTGTTCTTTGCTTCAGACTGCTTTGCTACTTTTGCACCACCATAAAATGTATTTAAGGTGTTCAAAAGAGCAAAGGGAACTGAGTTTTGTTCTAATTTAATCAAAAATGGCCAACTGGCCACAACTGGGCATGAGACTTGGTTGAAACTGGTAAACCAAACCTGCACTAATTTAAACCAGCTAAGGAAAAAAATCCATTGTCTTCTGAGAAATTTTGGGCATATAAGTAAAGACAAAAGTCCATTTTCAGTCACTGACCCTCACAGCTGATGAGAACCCCAAAATTCTTGGGGCCACACCTCAATATTGAGTACGAACAGCATTAATGGGCAGAGCTCTGTAAAATTCAGCTTCAGTGCTCTGGGCACAATTCACGAGAAAAAAGCAGCTACTTGCAGTATTGGTGGGAAATTTCACAATCTCTAGTCTCATGCAGTAAAGCATTGAGTAATTTTAAATTAATGTGAATTATGGTGGTACTTATCTGACATAGTTAACAGGAAAATACTTATTTGCATACTTAAGCATAATTTAGTAATACTAGAACTATAAATTTGTATGCAACTATGACAACAGTTGCATGAAAAATTGGATTTGACATTTCTGTCCTATTTTAAAAAAAATACATCTTTTAATCTCTCTTACTTTTCTTTAAAAGAGCCATGTGTCCTGTTGGATGAGAACTGTGATCTGTGGTAAACTAAAATAAAAAAAAAAATTTTAGAAAAGGGAAAAAAAAATAAAGAAAGAAAAAGAAAGAGAGAGAGAAATATAATTAATGACAGAAGTGAATTCTAGTTAGTTATATAAATATTTAAGTTTTGGATTATCAAATTTTACTGCTGAACTGGTAAAAGTAAAACTGCAATTAATCTCAGTAAATAACTTTTTGTTTTTTAACAAATAACTAATATTATGGGCCAGAAATATTTTTTTAATAATTTAAGCAACTAATAGGTTGTGAAAAATAGTTTCATAAATCCCATCTGATCATCTACGTCAGTAGGTGATTTTTAGTACATTTTAAGATAATGTGCAAAGAAGTATTAAAACACCCACTAATGTAATTTAGAAATGTATTTCTCTCTGATTTCGCCTCAAACATTGTAATTATCACAAATATTAATGTCTTGCTGGAGTATGCATTCCCAAACATATGGGAATCTTATAGCAGGGCAGTGTCTTCTAGACCCTCAAAAATTTCAAAGCAACAGTGAGAATATTTTCTTACAGCCGAATTCTTCCAGTGTGTGTAGTGTGGCTTGTATTTATGTACATTTTTTGTGATTGCTGAAGAAAAGACGGGAGCCTTTCCTAAAACTGTGCTTCTAGTCCAGGCCTGAGAGCAGCCATGTCTGAGAAGACAGAACATAATCCCTAAAAGTACAGGATTATGAGAAATACAACATTTGCCTGAATTCTGGACCCAAAACTACTGTTTATGAAAGAAAACACAAACCACACAACCAAAACAACAACCAGTTTTACAACAGTAAAAAACAGCACCAGAAGTTGGGGGGGGAGAGGCAAATCCAGCTGTGTGATCTTTTATACTATGTAGGGATAGAACAGAAAATAATTTTTTCTGCTTCCACATAAACAGATATGGACACATTACAGCACAAAGATATAAAGGGGGTTCTGTGCACACATAAAAATGAAGTTTGTTTCAGCTTCTTGACAAATCAGACAGAACAGCAAGAATTCTTGAAACTTGAGTCACAAAACTGACCACCTCTCATTGGTTAGTGCTCAAGTTCAGGCAGCATCCTAAATTAGTCTCTATTTTGACCAACAAGTTAGATGACAACAAAAAAAATATATGTAAAAAATCTAAGATGTGACTTTGTTTACAAACCACTTATATTCACATGTCTTTAAGTCCCAGCTAATGACTAAACTGCAGTGAGAAAGGAGCATTCTGGAAGTTCTTCCACATCTGCACTACTTATCTACATTCCAGCAGACCATTCTCTTCATGTGGCATTAATTTACACAGAGGAAATCAAGTTTATCTGTAGGAAAAAAACACAGCTGAGAAAGCCTTTCTCTCATGCATTACACAGAAGTACTGCTTTCTTTTACATTTAAAAACTTTACTCATTTAGGTAAGCAGAGGGACAACAGAACCTGCTACACTCTTGGACTAATTTTCTAACCCCACTTTAGCTGATCACAATCTTCCCCTGATTTCCACAGAGCTGCCTACTATCTTTGAATTAGCATTTGTAACAATAGCCACAAACAGTCCTGACGAACACTGCAAGATGAAAGCTGCACAGCCACAGCTTCATGTTATCTCCAGAAATCATTAAATCCACATAAACTGAACCATGTTTTAAACTTTAAAATCTAAAGACAGACTCTCACACGAGTCCGAGTTCTAAAACTACAGCATTCCTAAACCTCTGAAACACCAATTGATTACTTACTGATTTTAAGGAAAGAGAGGTATATTTGTTCCCCTGCAAATATTCACTCTGTTTTTTCTGACTGTAGACATTATTTCCTGGAACCTGGCAGTCTCTAACTCAGCTGCCAAATTCTGCAACAAAACGAGGGGCTGCAGAAGGGAAAGCTGAAAAACAGTGACATTACTGCTCAGATATTTCCTGCTTAATTAGTGTTTTTACCTCTTCAAAGCAGCACAGTGTTCGGGACTCCTCTCTCCTGAAGTGCTGTGGAGTTATTTACTTGGATCCTAGATAGCCCATAGCTGTAAGCACTCTTGCAAAGCGTCCTTGACCACCATCCTCCTTTGAAGTTACCCACACAAGGGCCTTACAGGGCACAGTAACAGTTTTATGATTCAATTCCTTTTTCAAACGCTTCAAAGTTTACTTTGGAGTTGTGCTGGTTTTCTTTCCTTTCTCTGCTGCTGAGGAATAGTGCAGAGTCCAGACACTGCACTGGAGGAATGAGAGCACATAAACCACTTCCAGATGTGCAGAGTGATGATGCAGCCCCAGATCTGGCAAACTTGCCTCAGAGCTTCAGCTAGCAGATTGCAAACAAATCCCATAAGACAAAAAGTCTTAAAGGGGTGGGGGAAAGAGAAGGAAAAAAACCCTTCCAGAAGTTACTTCCAAAATCTAGCTGCAAGTTACGTTTTTAGTCATTATTTATGGCAAATGTGAACAGGTAACTAGTGTGCAAGAGCCAGACTATAACATGCCAAAGTCTAACAGAAGGCCAAAGTTTTTCCAGTGTCTGCTGGCAGAGTTCAAGAGAGTCAAAAGCTAAGGGAAACTTGCAAAAGTCAACTCTGAACATGCATTTTGACTTGAATCATCTCATTTCCTAATCTTTGAGCGTTTAATCCGCAGGTTTGGTTTAGACCCAAAAGGATTTTGGATCAAGGTAACCACCACATGGTGATATAATGCCTCCTAAGCTCTCCTGGAATGCTTTTGCAGCCTTATTTCTACAGCACTTCTTTATTTGAATTCTATCCCTCTCTTCTAGGAATGAGCCTTCTAAATGATAAACAACAGTTTTTTACAAGACTTTCAGGAGTACTGAAAGGAATTATAATAAACATCTTCAACTCTAAACTATTTTTCATATTTTTATTGTGAGGCAGTGCAAAATTTATGAGCAGTAGTCAATACAGGTCTTAAAAATCTTAAGTGTTTTAATTGAAGATTGGTGTTCCATTTGCAGGAGCCAAAAATGTGGAGTTTCAACTCTATGCCTCAAACATGCCCAAACTCTTGTTATCTGTGTCTAATTTTGCACAGAGTTTTACAGTTACATGCTTTGTGCAGAAGGCCACAACTAATAGTATTTTTCTGTGCTATGATATTTAATTTGTATTAAGGTCATGTTCATCAAAATCCACCCACTTTTTTTTCACCTTCCATTTCTATGTGAATCTGAACAATCTAAGCAGCACACAGCCATATGAGCCTGCAGAACCGAGACCGGCTCCTTCACCTGGCAGAGTCCTCGGCATCACTGGCCATGCAGTAACACCTTCACAGAATCCCAGAATCGGGATTGGAAAAGCACTCTGAAACCACCGAGTCCAGCCTACAACCAAACACCACCTTGTCAACTAGACCAGGCAGTAAGTGCCACATCCAGTCTTTCCTTAAACACCTTCACCATCCGTCGGCAGTTCATTCCAATATCTAATCACCCTTTCTATGAAGAAATTCCTCCTAATGTCCAACCTCAATTACACATCTCAGCATCATCATTTACAGTGTAGAACTCAACAATGAAAAGAGACTTTTAGCACTAGCTGCACCTTCTTTGGATTCCCCTCAGCCTCACACGTTTATATTCTCACACAACTCCCCCCTCACACAGGAAAGAGCAGCTTCTCTCCTGCAGAACGAGACCTTCGAATTCACTCAGATCACCCGCAGCCAGCTGTAGAACCGAAACCTCGGTTGCGAAACTCAACCCTCAGTGTTTAAACAGCAAGTCATTTCTTTCTCGCCGCACACCTCGCGGGCAGCAGCATTGCCTCGCCTACCACTAGCCAGCCGAAAAAAAAAAAAAAAGGGAAAAAAAGAAAAAAGGAGGTGCCACACGTTTCTGAGGGCTCGGCGGCAGAGCGGGTGCCCCAAGCAGAGGAGCACACGCCATCTCCGCGGTGCCCAAGCACCCCTGGGCGGCGTACGCTGGAGGCACGGAGCCCCTGCCCAGCGTTCCCGCCGGAGCACGGCCGGGCCCGGGGGCGCCGCAGGAGCGGAGGGGGCCGTGCCGAGCCGGGGCTGCGGCGGAGGCGGCCGCGGGGCGGGACACGGGCGGGACACGGACCCGCCGCCCTCACGTCAGCGCTCCCCCTTCCCCGGCGGGCTGCCCCGGCCGCGCGGTGCGTTGTGGGAGCGGCGCTGAGATGGCGGCGGCCGCCGCCGGGCTGAGCTGGAGGCGGGTGTCCTCCTTCACGGGGCCGGTGCCGCGCTCCCGCCACGGGCACCGCGCGGTCGCCATCCGAGAGCTGCTCATCATTTTCGGCGGCGGCAACGAGGGCATCGCCGACGAGCTGCACGTCTACAACACGGGTGCGCGGGGCGGGGCCGCGCCGCGGGGCGGGCGGAGCGGGGGGGGGACAGCGGCGGGGCCGTCCCGTCTGCGACCGCCGGTGGCACCGGGCTCCGCACGGCGCCTCGGATCCTCCCCGGGCCTCCCGCCCTCGCCCGGCACTGCCCGCGGAGGGCTCGGCCGAGGGGGCGGCGGGGGGACTGAGGAGCTGCCCGGAGGCGAAATGGCGGGGCGGGAAATCCGCCTGGGCCGGGGGTCTTCCCTGGCGTAGTGCGCGCCCCGGCTGATGCTGCGGGGTTAGCGGTCCTGCCCGGGGAAAAGCGGCCGGGAGATTCTCGCTGTCTCAACAGTGTCGAGGCTGTTCTGCTTTCCCCGGCTGTCCGCGGGGCTGCGGAGCCTCTCTCCGCTGGCAGGTCGCGGCTGAATGGCGGCAGGCGGGATCAGTCCCTGCGAGTGTCCGGATCCCCCTCCTTCCCTCTGGTGGCGGCCGCTCACGAGAGCCGAGCGCGCTGGAATGGGAATCTTGTTTGGAAAAGTGAACATGTTGGCATCGGGAGCCTTTCCAAACAGGAAGCTGCCCAAGACCGATTTTATTTGTGGAAGATTAGACGCCTGAATAGTTACTGTACGGAATGCTGAGTGAGCCTGGAAAACTTGCGTGTAATTTCAGGGCTGGGGCCGAGACGGGAGAGTTTTGTGACTGATCTGTGCTTCTCAGTCAGCCAGTGTTGGCTGACTGAGGTTTTTCCAGGCTGATTTTTTTCTGATAGCTTAAAGATCTACTATGCTTAAATCACTTTTCTGAGGGGGAGAAGGAAAAAAATCTCTTAACCTTACTCTACTGACAAGTAATCCAAAGAAAACTCTTAGCATAGTTATGCCATCCGAACACAGGTTCTGACAGGTGCCTTTTGAGTGCTTCTTATCATGACTTGGTTTTTTTATTCCCAGACTTTCTGTTTAAGGTGTTTCCCCTTTGCAGCAGTGACAAAAAGGATCACGACTCAGTTGTTCCTGAGTTGTTTCTCGATGAGTGCTTGGCCCAAACTGACCCTTTTTATTCTGGGGTTTAAGATGCAGGGTTATGACCTGAGCTGCCCGAGTGTGGGATGTCCTCCATGGCCCTTGCTGTGCATGTGATGATTTTCGAGGAGCTGGCACACAGTGAGAGCATCTTAATCCCCGGCAGCAACGCCCACTGGAAGCTTCTAATTTCCTACTTCTCCCCTTTATGCTCATTAAAAAGTGTAGGAAAAATAAGACATTGTCCCCTGTAATTCTTAAATTCCAGAACAGTTCAGGCACCAATATGCTGCTTCTGGATCAGACAGTCTCAGTTACTTTTTCTTGACTCTGTGCCTCTCCTCTCCCACTCTGTGGATATTAAAATGGGTCCCAGAGCAGTGTAATTAGTTTTTGAATAGGGCTATTAAGTCCAGGCACAGTGCCATGCTGCTGTAGCTCTAATAATTCTGTTTCTAGGGCTAGCTCCCTCTGAGTTAGCCTGGTTATCTCTTTTGTGTGGAACTGCACTCGTGTTCCTCATTAGCCTTGACAAATCTATTAAATTGCTGGATGACCCTTCATGACTGACTTAGTTACAGTGACCTCATGGGCTCATTCATATAGTGAGTATCGTTGGCTTGATAGAGGTGTTTGCTTTTCTTTTTATTAAAAAAAATAATAATATATTTAAAACTTAGTGTGAAGTAAATAGCCCATTCCGTTATCTGCAGATAAAAGGTAATTCTTTAGAAAGCAGAGGTGTTTAAAAATGCATGTTTCAGTATTTCTAATATTTTTTCCTCATTTTTGTTTTTTTACTCTCTACTATAGTTACAAATCAATGGTTCCTTCCAGCTGTAAGGGGAGATATTCCTCCAGGCTGTGCAGCACATGGATTTGTTTGTGATGGTACCAGAATACTAGTTTTTGGAGGAATGGTTGAATATGGAAGATATAGCAATGATTTATATGAATTGCAGGTAGGAAATGTATTAATATGTTTTGATTTTCAGGACTACTTTATTTATCTGTTTATGAAGAAATACATTTTATTTTACCAACTACAGAGGAAAGCTAGATGATCTTTGCTCTTCTTCAGTAAGGTTTTCTCCATCTTAAGAATCTAAAGTTTATTCTAAATAACTTTGAAATAGAGACTTCCATCTAGTCTAAAGTATAATATATTAAATATTTTATTAACATTACCTCTTATGCATTGCTTTTAACTAATATCCTAAGGAAAGCCCATCATTCCCTTAAAAATAATTCAGAAAATATACAAATGTTAATATTATATGAATTCTATTTGTTATGACTGACTATGAATGAAATTATTTCTGAATTAATTTTTCTGGTCTTTAAGGCAAGTCGATGGCTCTGGAAAAAAGTAAAACCTCAAGCTCCTTCAAATGGATCACCACCCTGTCCTCGGCTTGGCCACAGCTTTTCTTTGTATGGTAACAAGTGCTATTTATTTGGTGGCCTGGCAAATGAAAGTGAAGATTCAAATAATAATGTTCCCAGGTATGCTGATTTATCTTTGAATTTAATGGCTGTAAAAACAAATTACTGGATTTGACAGCTTTGAAAAGGAACTCTAGGCAGGCTGTTCTGTATACCAAGTACTCAGAGTTGGATTATTTGTGCAGTGAAGGGGTTACATGTGAAGAAGGTTCCTTCTGCTAATCCCACAGTATGGAACACTGAGTGACAGCTCTGACACTTTTGTAGGGAAACCTCAGTAGGCTTTGGTATTTCTCCTAATATTTTGGGTGATGTTTTGAAGAATGACTTGTTTGTTAGAATTACCTCAATCAGAGAGTCTCATGAGTCATCAGGGAATTCATGATGGATGTTTCTTCTGTATTGCTATGAAAAACAGTTATGAATTAATCTGGAAATCTTTTACAGTAACAGCTGAAGTTGCTGTTATTGTCAGCAAACTGTGCTATCATGCTGAATCTTTATATCCACGTTCACCTGCAGTTTAGAGCACTTATATCCATTGAGCTATAAACTGGCAATTTCAAGCTCAGTAAACAAGAGGTATCTGGTGTGAATGCCAAGATTCAAAGACCATTATCTAAAAATAACTTGCTGATAGATTCAGCAAATGGCTAATTGTGCATTGGCCAGTCTGAAGACATGAGAAAACAGCTTCTTCTCACCTTTGTTGCCTTAAGAGTTGCAGAAATTTCTCTCTAATACCTCTTGTCATGGTGTATTTCCCAGAACTTTGCAGTTTATTGCAGTTACCATATGTAGTAATTTTTGCAAGAAATGTTGTTTTCGTGTTTCTTTCATGTAATACAGTGTAGTGAATAAGAGCATGTTTTCTCAGAGACAAGATATTAGCGTTATTTTTTTTGTTTGAAATCCATTTTAAATCCAGATTTGGTACTCTATCAAATGTTTTGAGTTTAAAACTCTACAGCCTCCCAAGACAAAAGTCTGTAATATTTGGAAGTGATCAGGGTTTAAAGTGCACTTGTCAGCATGCTTATAAGTGAGTTTTTCATGCTTTGACAATAATACCCTAGATATTTAAATGATTTCTATGAACTGGAGCTGCAACATGGGTCTGGCGTGGTCGGCTGGAGTATTCCTGTGACCAAAGGAATCTTGCCATCTCCCCGAGAATCTCACACAGCCATTGTGTACTGCCGAAAAGATGTGGGAAGCCCAAAGATGTATATTTTTGGAGGCATGTGTGGCTGTCGGCTTAATGATCTCTGGGAACTTGACATAGGTGAGTTGGTTTGCCAGCTGAAGTCAGTGCTTACTGGCTGAGGGGGAAAATTACAGTTTAGAATGGTTAATTGCATGCTGTGGTGCAGATATTATTGAGACTGACACCATAGTGTTAACCTTTTGTAATATTTGGAATTAAATAGGTACAGTATTGTTTGCATATATTATTCTCACTGATTATAGATACTCCATAAGATGTGTATCACAGTCTTTAAAGCACTCTAAAGAAACAAAGTTGAATAACCATAATGAAACTATAATTTATGTTTTTGATAAACACTTTGTTTGTCAGTATTGCCTTAAAGAAGTTCCAAGAAGTGCTTGTTTTTGCACCCTCTTTCTTAAAGTAGCCATCTTAAAAAGGTGAAATTTAGCTTTGCTGAATATTAGAGTTATGTTCCCTCCTAAAATCCATGTAGTGGAATATGTAGCAACAAGATAATATTTTTTTGAGGCCTTTATTCTCTTTCTTTCAGAAACCATGACCTGGTCAAGACCAGAAACCAAAGGGACAGTACCACTTCCTCGTAGTCTCCATACGGCCAATGTAATAGGAAACAAGTATGTCTGTTGTTAAAAGCTCAACTCTAGAAAGGTACACCTAGTAGGAGAATGATGATGCTTACCCACTGCTGCTCAGTATAAACATCAGCCCTGTAGAGTAGTTTCCTGCTATTTCAGTACCACTGCTAACTCAAGGGGTAGCAAACTGTCAGTGTTTCCATCCAGCAGAACAATCTTCCCAACCCACCAGTAGCTTTCTGGGCTTCTTGGAGCACCTTTGTGCATTCTGGGGCAGCCTCAACTGGGCCTGAGTTCTGTCGGGAGTGAGCTTCAGTGCCTCTGTGTGTGTGACACAGATGAGGTAGCCATGCAAAGAAACTGCTCCAAGAGTAAAACTAGTTCCAGGCAAAACTGTTCCCCGCTTTTTCTGTAATCATTACTCTGCTTCTTGCCGATATTGTTTGTTTTGGCAGGTAGCAATGGATTTTTAAACATGGGTTTCAGTCCAATTTGTATCAATTTACAAGCTGGCATGAGGAGAAAAAGGCAAGGGAGTAAAGAAGTATGAAAGTTTTATATCTTCCGATCCAATAGCTTAGCTTTTTATTCTTTACTTAAAATGTCAATTTGTATCCTGCATTATATTTTTAAATTTTGATAACTGAGTTAGATGCCAGTCATCTTACTTTAGCATGACTTACCGAGGGGTCTGCAGTAAAGGATTGTCGAAATTCTGTTGTACGTGTGGGATTTTTGGAGAACATTAGCAGTTTGATGGTTTGCTAAATGTTACAGTATTAACTTCCATTTCTAGCAAGTTGTTTGAGGAGTTTCTGGGATTTTTTTGTGCGGTTGGGTTTTCCCAGTCAGTCAGTTTACTCAAAAATTTCAGAGGGTAGATGTCTGCAACAGTACTTCATAAAGATAGTAAATACAAATAAAATTTGCTGTGAACCAAAGCTATAACACACTGGAAATTTTCTTTTTTGTCCTAGTTTGAGAGAGCACACGCAGCAGATCTAGATGTTAATTGGTGTTTCTTTTCTTTTTCCCTTGTCTCTCTTTTCCTGTATTTCAGAATGTATGTTTTTGGTGGATGGGTTCCACAGTCAACAGCAGGTGAAATTTCTGCTCCTGACGGTGAATGGAAATGCACTGGTTCATTTTCTTACCTTAATTTGGGTTAGTGTTTCTGCCTTTCTGGGACTGGGTATTTTGAATTAATATTTTCTTAACAGAGTAGAGTAACTATTTTGAAGACCTTGAAAAAAGTTAAGATACATAGTTGTAATCCTGGCTGACTAAAGAAGTTGCCTGTTTTTTGCATGCTACTTGAAAAGTAATATTTTAATTACAATTTTTCAATTTTACAATCTTTGAAGATTCAGCAGGTTTGCTTCTTCAAATCTTGGTTAATACAGCTTTAATACTAAGTAATGTAAATGCTCCTTCTTCATTTATAAAGGAGCACAGGAGACAGATTCTGAAATGAGGTTTTTCTAAGTATGATAGTACCATCCCTGAGTTCTCAACTTCTGATCTATTTGCCTGAGAGAGATAACCAGAGGTCAGAAAAATGAGCTTGTATGAATTGATTTTATCTTGTACACTAATTGGAAAGTGACCTTCTCTTCATAATATTTCCATTTTAAATGCAGTTGTCTATTAAAACAGAGGTGATTTATTTTCATTTTTATCTGAGCAGTTAAGTGTGTTAACATCTTTATTTCTTGTTTTGGAAAACATCCAGAAACTAAATGCTTTGAGTTTCATTTACTAGATACCACAGAATGGATAGGTCTGATCTCAGATTGCCAGGAGGACAAAAGTAACTTGTTACCAGGGCCAAGAGCAGGACACTGTGCTGTAGCTGTTGGCACTCGTCTGTATATCTGGAGTGGTAGAGATGGTTACAGAAAAGCTTGGAACAATCAAGTTTGCTGCAAAGATCTTTGGTACCTTGATACTGGTGAGTCAGAAATAAATAAGAGACTTCTACTATGTTCTGTGTTTTATTAACATATGAGAAGCTTGCATGATTGATGATCAGAATATTAAAGTTGTAGCAAACTGGAAGACTAAATTTTTAAAATGGTTTTAAAATCATGCTCCACTGCTGGTTGTTTAAAGGCTATTACTTAAAATGAAAAATATTAGGAAGGCTTATTTAAAGCCTCTGAAAAAACTTCATGCTAAATTCTTCGCTGCATGCCATAGTCAGATGATACAAGATACTAAAGACTGTTTTGCCTAAACTCAGGGTTCCTGGCCTCTCCTTTTAGTGGTCTTTTCTGCTACTACTTACTTTTTTTGCCAAATCCCTTCTTCTCTTGGGATCATTGCTGCTGCTGATGCTTCCTCATCTCTTGGACTGCAAAAAGATACTCTTCAATCTAAGAAAGGACCAAATTGTTCCCGGGGATGAAGGGAATTCTGGAGCCTAATCACTCATTAGTAGCTGCATTGATAGCAGGATACTGAGATGGTGTTGGGAGAGAGGGAATTAGAATAGAACTATTTTTTTCCTGTTTCATTTTTTGCTCAGAAAATGAAAAGGAGTAGCAGGGGAGGGATGTACTTAAGATTGCAGCCTGGTCAGGCATAGAGGCACGTGAGAGGAGCAAGCCATTGGCATTAGTCATGTCTAGGCTTCAGCCTGTGCAGAAGAAGTTAGAGAGAAAGTTCTCTTCAGCTACACAGAGCAAGCAAAAAAGAAGAAGAATAGTTTGTGAATTAGAGGAAGATGTAAAGCTTTAGGAGTCAAAGAGCTACATGCAGCATTTCACGAAATCACAAGGATCTCCTGTCTCTAATCCCTACAATGATGTAGCTACAACCCAAAGGCCTACTGGCAGCAGAAAAACCATTAAAAACAAAGCATCAAAACTGGAGCATATTTGAACACTTTGAAAAGACACTTTGTAATTCTCTGACTTGACTTGCCACTTTTGACAGTGGTTTCTTGTTGAATCTGGTATATATTGTACATTAGTGAAAAAGGAGCATCTGATTTTACTTGCAATATGCAGCTATTTAATAAACTGGGAAGGGAGGGCAATTTCTAACATGCCATCTGTGTTTTATTGGTTTCTTGTAGAGAGACCTCAAGCACCATCACAGGTACAGCTGATCAGAGCTACAACCAATTCTTTTCAATTGAAGTGGGATGAAGTACCTACTGTTGAAGGATATCTTCTTCAATTACATGCTGACTCACCAGTGCCAACGGTGGCTGGAATTCCTGGTACTGGCATTCCTGAGACATCAGTGCTGAGTTCACAAGGTAGCAGTCAGATCATATTACAGTAATGTTTATGCACAGGCAGACTGGAGGGTTGCATAAGTAATAAATATGAGTTTGTTTTTTAAAGAACCATTCTGTGTGAGAGAGAGAGACACGGTTTCTTTGGTTACTCTCCAAATGCCTGCATCATAATTATGGAAAACTCCCCTTTGACTCGTTTCTGTTGGTTTTGGCCAGCTATCTGAATTATGAATATATCTCTAGAATGCTGGGCACAAATTGAGAAAGGAAACAGTGAGGAAGGGATTTTATCTGACTGTTTGGCTATATACACTTTCATTTCAAACTTAAAACAAAGTTTTCCTTCAGACAACTTTGGCCTCCCTCTTCTTCACTGAAATAGGTTAAAACCATCATAATATTAAGTTTTGTATAACTGATGGGAATTTGCTTTTGTTTACCTGCAAGGTGGCTGTTCTCTCCATCAGAGTCCACAGTCATTGCCTAGCGTCCCTTATCCAGAAATGAAGGTGGATCCTCCCAGCCAAGCAAATAATCTCATTCCTAATAACGTAAGTGTAAACTGAAAAATGCTTCAGTGCCAAAACAGTGTGGGAAGGTAGTGAACTGCCAGAACACTTTCTCAGTTTTAAAACTCCCTGCATACTTTTTAGGCCTTAGAAAAAAATCTCCAAGTAAAACAAGAAGACACCTGCTGAAATAGTTGTCTTCTTTCTTTTGCTTTTATTAATGAGAGAAAATCTTTCAAGTCCTCTTGTTAATGAGGAAGGGAATTGCAACTGCATTGTCTTCCACAATGCCAACTGGGAGCCTGACACTGACAGGAATACTATTCATCCTCAGAATGTTGGTGACATTAATGTGGGAAGCAAAAAGAATAAGGCATATTCCTTCTTTGTTAGTCTAGTTTAGTTTTATGCTAGTCTGCTTAGTTGTAAGTTCCTACAGCAAGTTCAATCCAGTTATTATCTGTCTGGTGTGCAGTTGTACATGTTCCTCTGTTTCACCAATTTAACAGAAATAATGAGGACAAACTTTGGCTAAAGGATAACGTTTTTAGAACTTTGGACCTTTTCTTAGCTGTGTAAAGTCTTAGATCTGTATGGGATCCATAATGTATTTCTGGAGAAAACACATGCAGAAATACCATAAATTTTACTCAGGGTAGAAATATCTCAAGTACATGTCAGGAAAGCAAAGGTTGAAAGCCTCTGTAATTGTGATTTTCCCCATGCCCCAAAGTCCCCCTAGTAGACTAAATATACATAGCCATGAACTTCCATGTAATGATAAAATGTAGTGTGACTCTTCCAAGTCAACTTAGAGTTTGAGTCTTTGTTTTATAATGACTAAGGTAAGGATTGAGAGATTGATTTCTTGGTCTAATTTAAAATAGTAGGGGGAATTGTTGGAGGAGTTTATATTCTTGTTTATGAGCAAGCATTTTCATGCCATGTTTGCAATTGAAATTTCTGAACTTTGCAGTTTAACATTAACAAATGTGTTGTTTTGGTCAGGTCCAAGTTGCCCTTTCATCCAGTTCAAAAGTAGAAGGAAAAGAAAAGGTTGCAGCACCTGAAAACAAGGTTACACAGGAGACCATGAAAAACCATGCAGATGCTACAGGATTCAAAGAATCAAATGCCCCTTCTCTTTTGCCTGTTTGTACTTCAAGTAAGATGACTATAGAAAAAAATAATTTAAAAATGAGAGTTAAAATTAATCTCAAAAACATAAAATTGTTTCTGTCTTGTAATTTAAAATTATTTAAGAGTCCTTTATAAAAACCCAACTTGTGTTAGTTATTACTAAACGTCTTTTTAGAAGATATGAAGAAAATTGAAATCTTAACTTGTTTGAAGTGTTGCAAGGTACATGAAATTCTCAATATATTCTTCATTATGATGGCAAATCTGTCTATTTAAATATAAATAGCCATTTTTAGCATCAAGTAAAAAGGGACAGATGACATTTTACAACATTATGGGGATAGTAACTCAAACTGACAGTTTGTGTCTGTCTGTTAGCTGTGAAAAGCTATTGGCTGATGTAAAACTTCAGGCAATGTAGATATAAGCATGTTTCTCTCTGACTGTAGAGGAAGTAAAAGATGATGGGGCTCTGATTTATGCATTTCACTGAAGTGCCTTAAGTTCAGTGTAGTAAATCCAGGCTTAATCACCTGATCTGTTTATAATTGACTTCTCTGTATTTTATAGGTAGTTGTATTTTTGTTTTCTTCATGGTGTAATTTAATTAGATATGGAAATTGTGCTTCTTATTGCTAAGACTTCTACAGAGGTTAATCTTAAATTGATTGTTACAAATCTGTTATACTGATTTGTGTGGATGCTTTATTTTAGTAGGGTTTTTTCCCAAATTAATTTTTTGTGACCAAATACATAAAAAACAGCAAGCTTAAAATAACTATTTACGTACCTCTGTTTATGGCTGTGGAGACAGACTTCTGTTCAGTTATAAACCTAAAGTAAGCATTAGCAATCAATATAATCAGATATGTTCTAACCTAATTCTGAGTTAAACTCAGGCTTTATATAAAACTAAATCCATTAGACCAAACTGACATTCGTTGTGTTATCAATATTGAATTCTTGCTAATACTTTTCTTTTTTTTAAAGGTGCTCAGACATCAGCAAATGTAGGTGAATTACATGACTTGGACAAACAAAGTGTAAATCCTGATGCTTCTGTATCCAGTACTGTCTCCAGCACACAAACTATGGTAACCCAGCAGGCTGTTAAAACTGAATCATCAAGTACAAATGGGGCAGTTGTTAAAGATGAAACTTCACTAACAACATTCAATTCAAAATCTGAAGGTTTGAAATGTGTTTCACATACTGTATTTTGAGCCATATATTTCTAAGGCCATCAGAGTTCCTCTAGTGTGGTGGGATTCCTGTCTTGAGTAGTACCTGGGATGTAGATAGGGCTTTGGGCATTGAAGGCCTTGTGCAGCCTGGATGATTTCTGCTGGTATTTATACATCTTTTAAAATCAGGATATTCCTTCTGTGCATTTGTAAATCACCATGTTTCCTGTAAGTGAAAAGTCCTTTAAAATCTTCATTTATTCAGAGGTCAATTTTCTTAATATCATTGGTAGGTGATAGCCTGTTTTGGTGCTCATTGTACATTTGCATTCATTCAGTGCTTGTCTATTTAGTCAGCAAAAGGCTAAAATATTAATCCTAGATGATTTTGATTTTAAGCAGTCAATTGCTGACCTCTGTAATAAATACGGCCAGTTAATGTCGCCACCTCACTGCTGGTGTAATGTGCTGGCCTCTTCACAGTTTGCTGGAAATACCCAAAATAAGCAGCAATGCAGAACATAAATGGGTGGTTTTTCAAGTTTTGTTTTTGACAAATATCGACAGGCTGTGCTTGTTACTGTTTTCAGTGTTAACTCCAGAACTGTTATTCTCATATTGATGTTGTGTGTATAGTGTGATTTTTACCAAGCAGTATTATATTTTAAAAGCAAAACCCAGGAACACAAGCATAGAATACTAATACTCCCATGTGTTACTCATGTGCTTAATCTTTTTTTCTCTTAAGTTTCCATTTTAATGAATGCTCTGTTCTCATTTGTTAGGGTTGTTTACAGTTTAACTGCTTATGTTCAGAATTCAGACTATTGATGTCAGAAACAATGCAATCAAATTAAGAATTCGCACTTAGAGTATTCATACAATGTCCCCAGTATGTGCCTCAATCTGGTATTTAGATTATTTGTTCACAAATATTTTATATCAATTTCATAATCTTGTCACTTTTTAGGATTTTCTGAGTCCTGCCTTCTGTTTGTATTATCTGTAGCAGCCTCCAGTGCCAGACTCTCAGAATTGTTCTGTGAATATGACAGAAGCCCAAATTAGTTTGTGTTATAAATAGAAGTGCATGCAAAAGAAGTCTGAGACAATTTTGTGCAACAAATACTTGCAAATGGCTATTGAGGTCAACTTTCATACTCTAGTGGGTTTTGTATTAAATTTTTTCTGTTGCTTAAGTTTTAAAAATTTGATTTTTGTTTTTAGCTGCTGAAACTGCTTATGTCACGCCTTCAACAAGGGTCAGTACTGGACAGACAAATGATTCACACTCTTCTGTAAGTATGAAAAAGTATAATGAAATTACTTTACCTATTGTTCTGTTGATTAGTTGTAAGGGCTCTTCTGTTTTCCTTTAATTATACTTCTGAAAGAAAAGCAGTGTTTATTTTGAGCTTGGAGTGATTAATACAGGGTAAACATTTCTGTTGTAAAACTAATTGCATTGTGTGGATAGATGTGATTCTAAAGCAGTTGTGTAGTTGGGAGGAGATCCAAGTACATGTTTCAGCTGTTGAATCATTTTTATCAACTGGCACAGTGGAATGGTATCTGCTGCATGATGTCCAAATATAAGAAGGTTTTCTGTATGCACAACTGAATTTAAAATGAAGTATGTATTATATCAGACTAGTGTTAGCTGCTGATTCTATAGATTTGAAACGTAACTTTACTGACATTTTGATGTTTTTCCCTAGAGGAGATGGGGACTGACTATGCAAGCTGTAAATACTGCCTGAAAAAGTAAATGCTTCCTATTTCACCTGCTTACAACTTAATACACAAACCCAAGGTGCCACTGTTGCCACCAAAAGTGAGGAACTAAGGATGGGGAGAAGCAGCTGCTAATAAAGGGTTGGGGTGCTTTTGCCAAGAGCAGCTGCAGCTCCTGCCCCATTTCCATGCCAGCCGGATCATGGCCTGTCTGTGCTGGGCACCTGACTGTGCAAGTGCCCTCCCTGGTGCCTGGAGACCAGCAAGAAAGCCAGTTTGTGTTTCTGGGTCAGTCAGGAGCAGTTTGCACACCCTCCATCCCCATGGCCCCATGGCACAGCTGAGGGCTGTTCTCAGCTGCAGGCGAGTTCTGCAGTGCCTGACAAGGAGCACTGGGGGCTGAGGTACAGCTGAGCCCCGGGGGAGCTGCTGATGTTGGACCACCTTGGGAAACTTCCTGAGCTCTGAGAGAAATTAACTCAGAACTACATGCTGCTACAGACACCTAGTTCTACAGCTTTAAGCTTCTTCCCCTCCATTCAGAATATCAGATGTGACATCCCAGCTGTTGCTTTTTAAATGACAGATTGTGTCTGAGTAAATGTATAAGAACCAGTTGGTTTTGCACAGTATTTTAATAATACATGCATATTCACTTGAAGGATAAGAAAGTAATACTGGTATGCAAGGGGGTTGTCTCTTACATATACTAGAGCCTTGACATTTTTTTCCATGGCATTGAAGTGTGGGTAATCTACATGACATGTTCTTCAAATGCTAGAGAGCTCCCCAGAGGCCGCCGGCACCCGTGAAAGCCAGGGACCGCCGCTGGTATGATGTGGGAATTTTTAAGAACAACAGTGCTGTGGTGAGCCAGTTCTACTTGCTGCCAGAGGAAACAATGAACATCAATAGCAAGGTAGCTGCTGCTTCTCTGATGTAACTTGCACGTACTTATTTCAGAATCTGGTTCTTACATAGTTCACAACAAAATATGGGATTTTCTGATACTGCAGCAGAATCTGGTGCTTGTGGGAGTTTTGTATTTTATGACCAATAATTCCTCATGTGTTTTTCTCACCTCTTTTTACTATTTCCTAAACTAAATTAATTTTCTTTTGTTGTTGTATGTGTGGTAATACAAAATATCTTACTTTGCTATTGCTAATTATTTTCTTATTTCTTGCCTTAGGAAACAATTTTAGGCTTACTAAACTTCCAAGCCAGTAAAATTCTTAAAAACTGAAACCCCCACAATTTCTTAATATGTTATTTCAGTCAAGCATCGAAATGTTTCAATTTCTCTACTCCCAGAATCTTTGCATAAAAATTGTTAAAAATACTAATAAGACATAGGCTAGGCTGTTTAAAAAGTCTAGATCTGGAACTGTAGTGGCTTTCATATTAGGTCTTTCTAACTTAATGTTTGGTACGTGTAAATTGATACGTGAAAACCATGAGTGTGAGACTTGCAAAAGTGTAACAGTTTTGATGGTAAAAGTGTATATTAGTGATGTCCTAGTTAACTGGAAACAAAAACTGTTTTCTTGAGACAGAAACAAAATATCAGAAATCTTTCTTTGAAAGCACTTCACTATAAATATTCTGTGTCTTAGTTTTAAAGGGCACTGTACATTGCACAGTATTTACATTGATTGTGGTTTTCACATTATTCAGTAGGAAAATAGTTATACTGTAAGGATCAGTGATGCATCAATGTATATTTTAATCATGGAAGTATGGTAGCACATAATGTTTCAGAAAGCTATTTGTTACTAACTTACAGTGCTTTTCCTTAAAAACATTTTGATCACCTACACATCGCACTGCAGCTCCTAATGTTAGGAATAACTGCTTTTGAAATAAAAAATGTTTTTTAGGACAGAAGATTACGTTAACTAAATCATAACTTACGTAGTTGTAAATGCTATTTTGTTTTAACTTTCCCCAGTAAAAATAACCACAAGGTGCAGTTTAATTTAAATGACTGAAAAAATGAGCTATCTTTTGGTTGAGAGCTGTAGTCTCACATTGCATCTTAGATCAGCTGTTTAGAGGTGAGGTACTGTGTCAGTCAGAACTTTTCATAAATTCTGATGTAAGTACAACAGTATTAAATAGATTTCAATTTCAATTAAACTTAATTAATCTCAACACTTTATACTTTTTTAGGCTAATTGTGTTTATAATATTTTAAAAATTAACACAAATGTTGCTTTATAATATTTTAAAAATTAACACAAATGTTGCTTTATTTTCAGACAGAAGGTGCAGATGTACCAGACTACAGATTACTTAAGAAACAGGATCTGTTTCCAGGCACAGTGTACAGGTTCAGAGTTGCTGCAATTAATGGCTGTGGTATTGGGCCTTTCAGTAAAATCAGTGAATTCAAGACATGCATTCCAGGTTTTCCTGGAGCTCCTTCAACAGTCAAAATCACCAAGGTGAGAAATATAGGTAATTCTCGTACTGATGTGTAAAATTCTGGTCACTGGTGTAATCTCAGAACTCTTGGTTATAGTTGGTTTGTTGTTGGGGTTATTTTTAAATTAGAATTGTCGTATACAATAGTGTCCAATGCTTACTTGGTGAGCTCTGCTCAATATAATAGTCTTTAAGAATTTTGCTGAAAAGAATTATTTTAAGAGTTAGTGATCATGTTAGCAGATATATGTATTCAATCATCTGATAGTTTCCCCATGATTTTCTAGTCTTGCATCATTAAATCTATAGGGGTTTACTGCTTCTTAAAAGAGAGTCTTTTAAGACATCTTTATCTCCAGAATGGTGATGATAGGTTAGAATTTTCGGATAGTCTTCAGAATTTGGAGTTTTTTAAAGATATTTTTATAAATTTATTGTATATATATTTATATATTTATGGTTAGCTACATGCTATCATATTTTTCTCTCTTTCTTCAGAGTGTAGACTGTATTCATCTTTCTTGGGAGCCTCCTGCTTCACCCTCTGGAAATATCTTAGAATACTCTGCCTACTTAGCCATCCGTTCCACGCAATTACAGGAAAATCCAAGTCAACTTGTATTTATGAGGATATACTGTGGTCTTAAAACCTCCTGTATAGTGACTGCTGCCCAGCTCTCCAATGCCCACGTGGATTACACTTCCCGGCCTGCCATAGTGTTCAGGATTTCAGCCAAGAACGAGAGAGGCTATGGCCCTGCCACACAGGTCCGGTGGCTCCAAGGTAAAGTCACTGTCACACACAGCATTTGAGTGGAGCAGGAGCTGTGCATTTCTTCCAGAACCAGCACAGCACTGCATGTGAACTTGTTGAAATGTTGTTTTGTTCTTTATGGGAGTTTTATGCAATTCTAGTGTTGCTTCTGACCTCCCTAGAATTCACTTCAGCTCAGAAGTTTTTCAGTCTAATGAGAAGTAATCCACTTATGTGCATCACGTACATGACATGCAGGGTAACTAGGGTTTTTCTCAGTCTTTTCACCCTCCTAAATGGAAAAAAAATTCCATCAGGTGATGTAAGGTGCGTTTTTGTGATGCATATACACTTGGAAATCTGTGTTACAGCCAGAAGATGTTTTGTCTTCTTGTCCCTGGGCTTGAACTTGTACAGGTTCGTGATGATCTGGGGATGGGAATGGATCCACTAAAAACAAAATTAGTATTAGCCTGGTCAGTTCTGGCTTGCCTTATAAGTAAGCCAGTCTGGGGTCACAAGTTTCACCAGCTTCTCATCCTGCTCCTTCCTGTTTCTGGCTTAGCTTTGTTGGGAGCTGGCTTTGCTCAACAAGAGGTGCTGTGGGCACAGAGGAAGGTAGGAAGGGCAGTGTTCACCCCCTCGGGCAGCAGGGAACTGTGCTGTGGGGATAGGTGACCTCAGCTGGTGGGCTGGGACCCACCTGTTGAGTGCTCCACTGCTTGGTTTCTAATACGTGCTTTTCTAACATGGGAAGCAACAGTGAAGAAATTGTCTCCTACGATGTTCAGTATTTCAATTCTGTTTTAACCCTTTAATTGGCAGGGGTTTTGACCATGATCTATATTCTAGAACTCTGAAACAGTGTTTGTTTGAAAATGTTTGACTGTGTGTACCATGTGAAATGATGAAACATTTAACAATGTCTCCTTCTTTTTGCAGATATGAAAACATCAAAGTAGAAACGACTTAAATCTCCAGTTTCGAATGTAGTGTTTAATGTAACTCTTGTACTATTTGTAAATGCTACAAATATTTTATTTTTGCATTGTTTTTATCTTAAAAAATATATAACCTTTTTTACGTTTGACACATCAACATTATAGAGCCTTGCTCAGGTATGAGTATCATGTAGAAAATATATCAGAGATGGTGGAGGATCACACTCTATCCAGCAGCTCTTTTTGGTAGTGATAAGTTAAAATGTAAATAACACTGAGTTTCAGATTAAAAATGAACAAAAGAATTGGCACAAGTAGTAGTATTTGAGGTAGAGTCCCCGTGATTGCTACAGATCTTGTATAGATAATTCATAAGATTTGGGATATGAGCAAATTCTGCTTGGTTTTGGTTCCCTATACCACATTCTTCATTGTGGTGCTTGAGTACAAGGCAAAAATTTCCAGTTATTATATAGTAACTTAAAATGTATAAATATTTTAATATATACTTTTTTTGTAAAGAAATGATTTTTTCTACTATTTGTAACAAATATCTTAATCTTGAAAGATATCCCCTGAAAAATTAAAAGGAAAAAGATAAACTTATCCATTGCTCTTATTACAAAAAAGGTAAATTCATTGTAAATGCACTACTATTACTTAAAATTATCCTTTTGTAGTTGTACAAATCTTAAACTTGTAAATACCAATGTTTACAAGAGATCTTTCTGGTCTCTTTTCCATGAGATTCATTCTCTTTTTCTTTTTTTTTTTTTTTTTTTTTTTTTTTTTTTTTTTTTTTTTTGTTGTTGTTGTTGTTTTGGTTTTTTTTTGTTTTTAATCCATATGCTTTGCTTTTAGCATATGCTTGCTTTTTGCACTAATAATAACTTACCTCATTCCTGTGTTAGTAATCTCTTGTGTTGCTTCCATAATGTTTCTGTAAAACTTCAATCGGAAAATTTTAACCAAAGTTTAGAATACATGGTAAGCAATTTTGCACATATTATATGGCAACTCTCAACATATTTATTCCAGTTAATCTTCTTAAGTGCTTGTTTGCTTTACCAATATATTCTACCAATCAAGTTCAGTATCTCCCTTTTACTATGCATCATTTTACATTAACTAGCTAGCTGATAAAATCAACAAGCATTACTTCTAGGTATAGGTTGATCCATTCCTATGTGAAAAGAAAAAAATTGTTCACAGCAGTGAAATAAAGGTAAACATTTTAAATGCTATTTATGTATCTATATATAAAACTATGTTTACCAAAGTGTAGAGGAAAATGGCTGAGTTGGACAAGGTCACTAGGTGAATAGATTGAGGCACCTAAATAAGATTTATTTTGAAATAAAATCTAAATTATTTACTGTGCAATGAAGTTTATACTTTGCACTTTAATTTTGCCCCAAATGCCAAAAGATTATACATCAAAGTAGAATTTCTTGCCTCTTCCAGTTAAATTTGTCTTAAGAGCGTTTGTAAATATATAAACTAAAATCAATGATGTGCCTGGTTTGGTGGGAGAAGTATCACTAAAATGGTAGAGATTTAGCAGCTCAAGTATCCCAGAGCAGATTTAATAGCCAAGTAGTGGCTACCCTGAGAATCGGGGTTTTAACAAAGTGCTGGTACAGCCTTAATTGTTGCAATGCATCACATGCTCCAATAGCATCTAGGAAGTGCTGGGGACCATAAATGGCTATAATAGTGTTAATTTGTTAATTGTGGCACAGGAGCAACACACGTGGTTTGACTCTAGAGAAAAATCACGTGCTTATGACAATGACAGATATCCCGGTTTCACTTTAAACAGTGTTTATAGTATGAATGTATAGGACTTTTCCTGAAGTTAACTGGCTTTAAGATATTTGTGTTTTAATGGTCCATTTTGTCAGGTAGGATCTCACTACCAATACTGTCTGATAACTAAAGTACCATACACATGAACTGTCAACTAGAAGAATAGAAATTGGTTTTTCTTATTAGTACTGTGAAAGAAGCCTTTAGAGAAAAACTTGTGGCTTTGATTTTGTTGGTTGATAGCTGTGATTATAGAGTTGTTATTTAAGAATAAAACCTGTTGGGTGTGTCTGGGTGGAGTTTTTTTGCACTTGGTTTCACATGCTTTGCACAATTTCTTTTTTCAGTGGGTATGTCACGACTACCAAAGGGTAAAACTGTGGCGTTTTCAATGAAAGTATAATTTCCTTGTGAGTGTGCTTTCTTCAGCTGACTTAAGATGTCACTTCTTTCTTTTTTGTCCAAGTTGGGTAATGTTGAATAGTGATCACATGCAACTCTTCAGTTGCTCACAGTTTTACTTTAAACTGAAATTGTGGTACACTGTAAAATACACTTTGTGGCCTGTTTTTAGAACTGTATTTATAATGTCTAAATCCCACCTGTTTGCCTATCAACTAGATATCAGACAAATATTGATTGTTCGATTTTAAAGCTTAGACTGTTGACACCAGCTCTTTGAGACTCCATGGTATCCATTTATTTCAGATACTGCTAAAAGACATGTAACAGAAACTGAAATCTATGATTACAGTATCCATATTGTAAAAATGTCTAGGTTTACTGAACTCCTTAGGGAGGTTGTCTGTAAGCATAGGACAGTCGTGCCAGCTATGGCAGACAATGCTACAGCTTCATCTTCAGAATGTTCTTGTGAAAGTGGAAATGAAGTGAACAATAACCTACACTTTGTGTTTTCAAAGTAATTATAGCAATATTTTTTGAATGTAGTTTGGAGTAGAGCACATGATCATGCCATAAACTCTGAAAATATAATAAGTATTACTGTTGTTATCTGATTATTTCAGGATAGCGAATTTCACGTGAACTTAGTCTTACAGCCTGTTACTTAATGACCTCTACAAGGAAACTGACATTTTGTACAATACAAGTTGATTAGTCTTATTTTGAAGAATTGTTTGTTCTTTGTAATAAAGTGGTCGTCCTATCAAACGCATTGTAAATACTGAAGTGTGTCTGTTTCTTCAGGGGTGTACGTGCACAAGCTTGGAATCTCTGTTTTTTCAGAGGTGTATGTGTACAAACTTGGGATTCCTGATGCAGAGAGTGAGTAAATTTGTCAAGTTGGGGAAGAGGGTTTAATGATAAGCACTGTCATAATACTATTACTCTTCCATAACTATTGTCTCCTAATTTAATTCTTGGTTACCTTACGAGCTTTTTCCTTAGTTGAGGTTCTGTAATATCCCTGCCCCACAGCAGTGCTGTTGCTGTGCACTTACCATTACTCTGCCCCCTTCCACGCCTTTGTGCCTTGCAGGCTGCCTCTGAACTGAAATTCTGACTTTACTTCCCCTGTCTACACAGGGGTCGTGTTGCTGTTGTTTACAATGAGTGACAGAGTTTGGTGTTGCCTTGTTGCAGTTTGTTAAAAAGATGTGTGAGTACTTCATGTGCTCAGAAGGCTCCTACTAAGGATTTGAATTGTGTTCATGTCCAGCTCTGCTCAAAATGACACCATCTTTTATGGCAGCTGACTCTGGGGAATTCCTGTGGGAATAAGCAGTACGTGTTGCAAGCAGCAGGGGAGCAGAGAGGAGCAAGTGAACGGAAGGGTCTACTGGATTGTTTCTAGACCTCCTTAAGAGACTTCACATGAGAAACTGCTAAAAGCTGTCTGCTCCAGATCGATTCCTTCTTTGTGTTCTTAGCTATTGTAATAATGGTTGTCCTGTTATTTGTGACTCTTGCATTAGTGGAAAACAAATGGGAAAACCCAAAACATCAGTGAAGAATCCTCTCGTACTGTTTTATTTCTGTTAATAACATTTTAAGAGTAGGAGTTATTTTCTCTTGAAGGCAAATTTGAATTTGCTGTATGAATTTATATAAAAACAACTCAGATTTATTTACTTTTTCTTTATAGCATTAGCTGGTCCTTAGGGTATTTTTATATTTCTAGTGAGTTAAACATCAGGGCTCTTATTCTGTGGCTTCCAGTCCTGACACTGAAGCATTTCCAGATTCCCAGGACAGGGGTGGAGCACTGACTGCTGCCACTGTCTGGGGAATGTGTTCTTCCTTCTGTTTATAGTAGTAAAATCTTCATTTTGAGGTGTTTACCATTGGTCTGGAAGTGGAGATCCCTTTTATTAAAATTTCAAGTAGTCAGTCTAAAGTAGTAGGAAGATGAGTTTAAAATAAATCCTCTTGATCCACAGCATCTTTTAGGATCCTGCACCTCCAGCACTTCCCCCAGAGAGAAGAAATCCCCATGATGTGGGGTGGGTGGGGGTAGGGTGGCACCCAGCTGGATCCCAGCATGAATGAATGGTGGTGGGGCTCAGCCAGAGAATGTCCAGCACCTGCAGCCCCTGGAAGAGGAGTGAAGATGGCAGGAAGGCCCAAGAGATCTGTGTGAGCCTACTGGGCCCCTTTGTCTTACTCCTTCCTTATGTGCCTCATGCTAGGTGGTGAAAATCTGGCATCTATAAATGTGATGAATTTCAACTTGGTCTGTTCCCTACAACCTTCAAAAGCCTGAAGTACTTGATGGTACTTGTTGGGCTCAACAGTCCTGACAGGAGCAACAAAAATATCTCCCAAACTGGGGCTGGGCATAGTTTACTGTTGTCATTTTTTTTTTTTTCGTTGGTTGATTTTTTTGGTTTTGTTTTTTTGGTTTTTTTTTTTTGTTGTTGTTGTTGTTTGTTTGTTTCAGGTTTTTTGTTGTGTGGTTTGGTTTTTTTTTTTTTTCTTTTTTTGGTGTTTTTTGGGGTTTTTTGGTCTTTTGGGATTTTTTTGGGGGGGGATTCTTGCCTCTCACAAGCATCTGCTTTTAATATCAGATATAATTGCTAAGTTGGTACAGCAGCTCCTTAAAACTTAGGCTTGGATGTGGTATCTTCAAAGAGAAAAAGAGATGAAGCATTTCAGTGTGTCCTAGTGTTCAGAGAGTTATTTCTGTATCTGTTGAAGTTATAAAATACTGTTATCCACACATGGAAGTTATCAATATACAGTTATTTCAAAAGCAATTCTTAAAAGAGGCACAATGAATATATGCCATTTTAGAAGGTTCAAAATGTTGGTTTTGTTTGCATCCTTTTTTTTTGTTTCCATTCACTCATTTAAATGTTTATTGCCAAGGATTCTTAACTGCCTTTTAGAGTAACCACCACTCTTGCACACAGTGCTGGTAATTCTCTTTTAACAAAAAGTTATTAGGTGCAAGCAGTCATCTTGTAACTTTGAGCAGTATTAAGAAATAGTCCAAACTTTTCTTTTTAGTATCAATTTCCTAGTTATTTCTTCATTGTATTTTGCCTGAGTGATAGGGAAGAGATGTAATATGTAAACTTTAAATGCTGCCTGCTCCAGAAGGAAAGTGTTTGGAGTCTGGGAGCAACTCTTTGAAATTACTGTCCTGAAAAAAGAAAACCCGAATTATCAATCTAACAGCTTGAAGTTTCAGCTACTTACATTACAGCCATCTGAAGCAACATGAGAGCTGTCAAGGCAGACAACACAAAATGGCCAGTTTTTGTCAGTGTTTCTTCTTCTTGTGTGTACAGAATTTGATTCCACTGCATCTACTCCAGAAACATTTTGGATGAGTTTCAGCTGCTTGGCTTGTAAAACGTGGCTGTTGCTTGTGGTTTTGGATAGAGAGCAGACTTGTCCTCTGCTGTAGCACTCTCCAGGCTCCACACTCTCCATCTTCTCATCCCACAGTGCTGGAGCCTGTTTCCTTGTAGAAATGATCTCTAGCTGGCTGGAGGTGAGATTTCAGATCCTTTCCCTTCTCCCTCAGGGCTTAGCTTTTCCTGTCAGCTGGCTCCTGGCATTTGCCTGTTCACCAGATTGCTTTTCCCAGAATGTTACACTGCACAGGGAGCTCAGGTGTCAGGTGGATTTGGATTTCCCAGGGCCAAGGAGGAGTTAGACAGTGCAGAAACAAACCTGTGCATCCCAGCGTTCTTTATCTGTATCATGCTGCTCTTGACAGTGTTGGGACACGAGCTCTGCTGTGGTGGACTGTCTTCCCACAGGGTGCAGAGAGTAGAAATAGCATATACTGCTCCTAATGTGCGGTTGCAAATGTTGTAGCTGCAGTTGTATTTTGAGAGATACAGTCCTTGCACGTGAACTGAGTCGTGTTTGTGCTGTATTTGCTGTTCATGTTGCTGTACAGGCTGGGTAAGTATCAGGCACACACACATTAAATTAGCAGCCCAAAGGCTGCTCCACTGCCCAGCAGATTTAAACCCTCAATAGTTTTCTTACATAAGCAAATCAGGTGCCAGTGCTCTGATAAATGGGTCCTCTGGCCTGGCATGCTGCAGTAAAATATTCCAGGAAATGAATATGGGAATTTGCCTGGAAGATTTCTTAAAGCAGGGTAGCCAACTGTGCACTGCATCGCCTCTGGCCCTGCCTCCACAGCCATCCTTGGGGACTTGGATTTAATAAACTCAGTGCAGCTGGCACCAATTTGGAGACGATTGTGCATAGCAGCAAACTGCCCTCTCTCCCAAGAGCACGTGGCCTTGGATGTCACTGCAAGCTGAACTGGCAGTTTCCAGGGAGCTTCCCATTAAACTTTTACAGCTGAGGGTCAGAGGTGACATTGCAGTCCATTACCATGCCAATTCCACAAATCAATAGGTAAATGGATCAATACTTGGTTGCTTAAATGTATTTTGATCCTTTGAAAGGGTGAAAGTGTGAATTATTTTGCCAGAACAGCATATCTCATTTTCAAAGAGGAAAAATTAGCTGGTATTTTCAACTAGGTACATGTCTTACAGTGTACCACATCCAAAAGGCACCCTCCCACCACTGCTCTTTTTACCAAACCAGGGGAAAAATAAGAGTAACCATTAGAGTTAACACTATCAAACTTCCTCCTGTAGGACTGCTTGGGCCCCATATAAAATATAGTTTCCTTATCACATCACTTATCTTAGAATCTACATCCAGCTTTGGAGGTTTTTTCCATCTACAGACACAAGAAAGCTCACTACCAGTTTCAGTGAAAAACTTCTACTTTGTATAAACCAAACCCCAAGAATGTCAAGCCTGCACTATTTAGTAATACAGTGACTTAAAGGCAAGTTGTCTTACTGCTGTAAATATAACTGAGGCAGTGAGTCTCTGTGACTGAACTGGAACATTAATCACATTCAGAGCTCTGCAAAATGAGGAATATTATAGCTATAAGCAAAGCTGCTGCCAACTCTTATCACGACAGCAAGGTGCTGGGGAAAACATTGGTGCTTGGCTCTGCCCCTTGCTTTGCACTAAGCACTCTCCTGTGTGTGTGCAGTTGCCCATATGCTTCCTCTCCTGCCAAAGGCTAGAGAGAAATCACCTGTCCATGCCTACAACGTGTTCATGAGCATCATCCTCAAACTCTGCAATAGGAATCACCCCACAGCATTCACAGTGATCCACAGTACAGTTCAAGGGAGACAGCTCTTTAAAGAATAGCCCACATAATTTAGGCTGCTTTTTAGCTACAGGCAGATAAGCATGGGGCAGTAGGTATTTAGGATGTACCACCCGATGCCAAAACTCCATCTGTGTTCTGGCTACACCATCCAGCCACATATTTTAGCATTCAGTCGAGACCAGAAGAGAGGAATAAATAAAATAGTTAACAATGCATGTGTATATCAAGAAGACTGGAAAAGGCAGAGCCTCAGCTCCCATTATGCCTGTAATGAAAATGGGATGTAGAACACCATCTAAATTAGCTTTTCTCATAACTCCACTTTGACTAGAGATAACAGTGTTTCTGTGCTTTTAAAGATACCAAAAGCACCCTATAAAAAAATACCAGAAGGATCATGTTACACAAAAATGCATTTAAAAAAAATTACTGTGGTAAAACTTGCTTGTGTCATGAAAAGGCACCTAAAAAAAAGTCCCTGTTCTTGGAAAAAGATCTTTGAACACCACTGCTATTTCAAGCAGCCTTTCTCCAAGTCTTAGCATAGGCTGCCACAGCTGTCTTGAGCTCAAGCTCAGTTTGGGGGTATCCTAGATCAAACAAAACATTCAGACAACCAAAGACAGGAGTTCTGTAGAAATAGATAAGATGTAGCAAGAATGGTCATTCTTTGGTTAGGTCTTAGCTACTTGTCAACTTTAAACACTTAAAAAGAGCAAAATGAGAACACAGATTTGTTGAACAAATATAAAGAATGCACTGGTTGTGCTGCTGCTAATACAAATTAGGCAAATATTTCTTCAGACCACATTTGTTTTATTTGGTGTACCATGGCTACAGTACCCTGCAAACTTTTATTAGGAGAATGGTTTCAGAGAGACATGGAACAAAGTGTTGTACTATTACTTTTACTGCTGTAGTTTCAGGAAGAGAATGAGAAGTTTGTTGCAGTTTTGTCCCTGGCCCTCAGAGTGTGAGAGGAGAAGAAAGAAAAAAGAAAAAGCATCAGCTTCATTGCTCACATGAATAAACCACAAACTTTACACACTTTAACCTAAAGTCACAGCAGAGAGGGGAGCCTGAAAAATGTTGCTTGTTTCAAGCAAGCGTGTGGGATCACCTCAATCTGCTTTCTATACATTAAAATGCCAAATCTTTCCTAGCTTCTCCCTTAGCTGGTATCACAGCTTTTTTCCATTGCAAATCTGGGAACAGCAAGAACAGGCTATGCTGGCCTGAAATAAATTGAATACAAACAGAAGGGGCTCGTGAAGGGTTTGTGTTATTCAGTTTTACATTTAATGACAAACTCCATTTGTTCAGTCATAGCTGCTGAAGAACGACAGGCTGCCACAAAGCCCAGCACATCCACGCAGACTGCCCAGAATACACTGGATCGCCTCCAGAGGCTCTGCCAGCAGGATGCTGACTGGCAAGAAACACTGCTCAAATCTGCACAAAAAGTTTTTGTTGAAAGAACTGCCTATCCCAGGCTTCTGGGATATCTTAGGTTATGCTAATTTCCCAATATTGAACTGTTACTTTTCTTTTTTAAGAAAAGACAAAACCAACAAGAAATCATATGGCAACAATTTCAAGGTGTGGTTTGCTCAAATTAATAACAGGTATGTAGAAAGATAATTAATATATTACATTTCAGTCTACTGCAAACAGTAAAAATACCAAAGGTCCCAAATTCAGTCTGAGAAAGATATTACTAAAACCCCCACCCCTACCCTAATAGGCTAAGACATGGCAACAAAATTACCCACCCAATTATTAAAGAAACAGCAATGTTACCAAGAACAGCTCACTAAATATACAGAACTACATTATCTAGGTAGAGTTTATTGCAAAACCAGGAAAGAGACAGCAAACGTGACGTCTCTGTCTTCCATTTCATATTTGTATCATTTGTTCAGCTGTCAGCCACTCGTGCACACACACACACACACACCACGCAGCCTGGACACAAAAACACACTACCAATTTTGAGTTCCCACAGGCTCACAAGAAACATTAAAACATTTCAGTAAAAAGTTAAAATGAGATCTTTTGCAACAAGGACTATAAAATCCCCCCCTACCCTTGGATTTCTAAGTTTGGGATTCTAAAAGCCATACATAAAAAGGAAGAGTTATTTCAATAGCAGAAAGACTACCTTAAAAGTATCAAAATAAGTCTAAGGAGTTAATGCAACTGAAAAAAAAAAGAAAAAACATAAAACCTGCATCGCACAGTCAGTGCTTTCATTAACACTGTTGATAAGCTCTAAACCTCTAAATGTAGTAGAGCATTCATTGGTTTTGATTAACCTTTAATCAGAAGTTACATTAGAAAAAACAATTGTAGCAATTCTCTTGAGCTGCTAGTTTCATGAGGAAAAAGTCCCTTTCAAAATTTCAATAAATAAGCTGACATGTAAAGTTAGTTGAGGTTGTCATGCAAGACAAGTTACATAACCAAGACTAACTCAATCTTTATAATAAAGGCAACTTGCATTCAAAAATGAACTTTACCCTTACAATTTTATTCAAAGGGTAAACATGAATTAACCCAGCTGTTTACCTGAATTACAAAAGTAACATGATTCAATATGAAAATAAGAAACTGTCTACAAATCTCTGACAGTAATAAATTGCAATATACAATGCATACAGGAGTTATACAGAACAACAAACTCTTGTACAAAACAAAAATACTTTAATACCTTTAAAATCCAATTATTTCTTTAAAATCATCATGAAAAAGATTTGAGTCAGAACTCGAACTCACACCTCAATTAGTCAAGCTTCTGGTAGCTACATTACAGCTATTTAATATACAAAGAGATAAATCTCTTCACCAGTCATTAAAACTGCCTCTTCGTTAGAGTTGCACAGGTTTTCCGTCTCATGTTCCCAGATGGAAAGTTTTCTTCAAAATCATGAGAACTGAATTTGTTGAACACCAGAGATCTAGAGTAAGAAAATGTAAGCTTACATTCCACTGCACCTTTTCTGAAGCTGCAGAGCAGTTCACAGCAGCCATGAGTTCTCAGTGTTGGAGTGGCATGACAGCCACCACCAAAGGACTATATGTAATTAATTCTCATCTTTGAGAACGGAGCAGCTGAACTAGTGTTTGGATTTTAGCAGCAGAAGGGAGAGTAGGGGACAGGATCATACCTGTTGATATGATGTTGTGTAGACCATAACATTCTGCTGTTGGCCATCTGTGGTTATTAAGCCTGCTGGCAACTGGTTAGCTGAAAGAGAGAACATTTTTAAAATGTTAGGCAGGAACTGCTTGATATACAGAGACTTGTTTGATGTGTCTGTCACCATTAAATAATCATGGTCCACTCTAGGACTACAGAGCCATTAATCTGAGTTACCATCCTACACTGGTATAGTCACACTTGCTACCAAGTGTTACAAGTGAACAAGTTTATTCCCATCCTGAAGAAACAGAAAATCCAACTTAATTTTGCTCCGAGAGTAAGTAGAATGTCCCACCTGTACACAGGGAAATGGAGGGGAGCTCACCACCCTGACCACTGAAAAGGCCATCTCTGGTGCTCAGTATTCCAAGAAATCTGGAGAATTCAGTTGACTTTGTTTAAACACAAAGTTAGCACTTGAGAATAGCCATGGGGGAGGAACTCAAATCATTGTGCTGCTTTATAAATTGGGATCTATCAGGAACTCCATAATACAGAAGCCCCATGGAAGGCAGAAGACAGGAACAGGCAATGACAAAATAAAAAAGGCACTGCCAGAGCCCAACATTGCACTGATTGACTTCAGCATGTCCTTCAGGGCACACACAAGTGCTCTGATTTCACAGAGGAAAGAGGTGACCAACAAAAGGACTAAAAAGTACTTCTGAGATAACAAGAGAAAACACAAGCTGTGATGCTCCAAGGTAAACCTTCACAATGTGTATTCTGAGCTCTCACATTCAGAGGAAGTGCCTTACAACTGCTATTTGGAAGCAAAGCAGCAAAACTCTTAAATTGGAGGTTAAGTCACTGTAGCACAACATTCTCCCATAGGACACAAACAATGGCGATTTGTTCTTTCAGTTACTAAGTATAAACAAGATGTATAACCAATACAAAATTCTGAAAGCACAGCATAATCCTAACAGTTTTCATTTGAAAGCTGCTGCTTGAGGGTTTTGTAATTAGATTTTTGGTTGGTTGGATGGTTGGGGTTGTCTTTTTTTTATTTCTTCCTCCTTCATTGAACAAATTTTCAATTGCTTCAGTTGCAGGCTAAGAGATGCATTAAGATCATACTGAGAGTGGCTCTGGCAGGTCCCAAATTTATTGCCCTTCAATGTGCATGTTCCACATCCAACACAGCTTAATGGAGAGTCCCTGACCCAGCCCTGGCATAAGGCCACCACAAAGAGATTAGGGTTATGCCACAGAAGCACAGCTATCACTGCTACTGCTGCAGTGACACCATCATTCATTCCAGACAGACCTATAGCTGGCCCTGCAGAGAGAAATACCCGCTTGACATGATTAGTTATTTAACATAATTTTTTTAAACTTTCTTCTACTACTGCAACATCTCTTTTGCATCCTTAATTCTGCCAGGACATTTCTAAAGTTGCTCTTTTCAAGTCACAGCAACCTAAAGTTTTTCATAGAGCACTCTGAGATTCCTAGGTCTGGCAATCAAAAATATAAATATTGCAAGGGACCTTGCAATATTTAGATTCTTAATTTCCAGCCAGTTTTATAAGCTCCTCTTCCAGGCTAGAAGAAACCAAGCAAATCTGCACTGTTTTACGTAGCCAAAGCCAAACTGAGAGCAAAGTGTATTTCCAATCCTGAATAGGTCATTTTAGTCTTCAGGTTTTGAATTTTTGCTACTTCAGTAGTTCAGCAGTGATTTTAGACAGATATTTATCACATAATTAAAAAACTAAATCTCGTCAGTAGCTATGACTAGAGCTGTGCTTCCTAATTCCTCTTGTATCAGGTTCAACATTACCAGCCCATAACATTTAAACACCCAAGTGGAGACTACATGCAAGAATCAGCACCAACAACATCAGTGCAAATCCCAAAAAACAATCAGGCTTTAATCAGGCTTTAATCCACAGTAAAAGGAAGAAAAACTACACTGAATGCACTTGATACTCCTGACCCTATACCTTCTAGTGATACTCCTGACCCTAGACCTTCTAGTTGCCAATCTGTGCATTCTTTTGCATGTAAGAAATGTTAAGTTCTTCAGAATTAGACAAAGATGATTTTCCTTTCTGCCTCATTCCTCAAAGATGAGCTCCTCGAGTTATCAAGGAGTTGATGTTACCTTTTCCCCCAGTAGTCTTGTAAGTAGAATGAACAGGGCCTAAATATGTAGCTACTGAGGAAAAAAGAATAAAAACGTTTTCACCTTACGCTACAACCTGTGTTTAAGTGTAGAGAAAAATACTAGCACTAATATATACAATTTTAAATTTTCCACAATTGACATGAGCTATTACTAGTCCAAGATATACTCAAGTAAGAATGCTGATTCCTGATGGAAGTGCTGTTTTTATAAAAACTGTAGTAATAATAAATTAAAAAGTATTACTCACTAAATGCTTCTTCTGTGAGCTCCTCACTTAGACCGTCTGCAGTTGTAACTGTTCCCCCAATTCCCTTTTCTCCTTTCATTGCCTAAGAAGAGAGAGCACCAAAACAGCAGAAAAAAAGCTTGAGATTTTTTTCAAAGCCCCAGGAGTTCTAGCCAAGGTTTGAAACTTGCAGAAGAGTCACAGTGGAAACAGCTGAAACTTGAAATACCAAGACCTGTAAAACTCTATGGGATTTGAGAATGCGCATATTACACGAGTGTTTTTCATCTTAGCCATATTCCTGAAACAAAAACTTGGCAAACTAGGACTGTGTGGTTCTAAGAAGGGCTTTTCACCTTCTGCAGAAAGTTCAAAATCTGTGGTAATCCAGAAGGAGCATTTACAAGAAATCACAGAATCTCACCTACCAAGAATGTGCAACATTTGCTTACCAACCACACACAAGCACCATCACCATAAACTAAGAGCTGACATTTAAAACCAAGATGTGGAACTTCTTCTCCCACATCAAGGACTACAGCCAGAAAGGATAGCAGCACAGAAAGCCAAGGCCCCCAGTCATCTGCATGCAGTTTTACAAGTTTGGAGTTAGACTCTCATGCTATTACATAAAAACATCTACAAAAATAATGTGGGCATAAAAAAAGATTCTCTATAACTGCTTGCTGCAGACAAAATGCTCAGTTACAAAACAGAAGTATTTCACCCTGATGACACCCTTGCTGGAATGAAGATTTAAAACTGATGAGCAAAGCTATTTAACCCATCCATGCAATTAAAATCCAATCCAACTACTCTGCTACCACAGCATCTATAATCTGCAAACTTAGTCAATTTAGAATGAAAGTAGCACAGACCCACTTCAGACTTATTTGGTAGGAACTGGAACTAGTTAGGCAACACTTGCCTTTTTAATAAAAGCACATACAGTGCTATCACAGCATGTGCAACTGCTACACAGAACTGGAAAAGACAGCACACAGCACTATTCCAACTTTATATTACACCTCCTGTTACTCAATTATCAAGCTAATGACCTCCCAGAAAGGGGAAGCTTCAAGTGCTGTCAGTGAAACAAACATCATTAGTGAGTCTGACCTAAAAATATCTTAGGTTTACAAAACAAAGAAACTCTGAAGAGCATCCTTATCTACTGTACTTCCAATTTAAGGGGGAGGCAGACCAGAACAAAAAACCCAGGCAGAAGCAACTTCATTTTTGAAAAGGTCTAAATTGCTGAAATGAAGAAAATCACTTTCTGCTAGAGAAGGGATAAATTAAACTGTTTGGATCGCATACCTAGCATATACTATGTATAAAAAGCAAACTGAGGGACAGGCTAAAAAAGTAATTTTAAAAACCCCATTGAAGCAGATAGTTTTCAATGAGAATCATTATTCCAACATGAGAAAAACAGTTTTTTCTTTTGCAGATTTGAGGTCCAGACAAACAATAGGCATTAGGCCAGTTCTTTAGAGGATGCAGTCAGTACATATTGATTGAACCCAAAGATCGAATTAAACGTTCTTAATAGGCACCTTTAAAGAGCAGAGCAATTTACTACCGCGAATATATTAGAGAATTTATTCAGCTGAAAGCTTTAACTATTCTGAATCAGCAAGTCTAATCAAAATGCTTACTTGCTCCTTTTTCTCTTGACATCCTCTGGAATGCTTTTAAACATTACATTACTCCCTGACCAAGAGCTGTGAGATACTGTACAAGTTACTCATTATGCAATTACAACAAGAGAGAGCTAAGGACAAACACAACCAGGTTAAATAAATGAGGAAATACCATATATACTAACCTCTCTGAATTTTTGGAGGTATAACTTCAAAGGTTCAACATAGCTATCAAAACCCAAGGTAGACATGGCGAAGAGAATATCCTCTCCATTGATGGTCTTTCTTTTCTCTTGGTGACACCTCTCACTTGCTTCTGATGTTATAAAGCTGATAAATTCACTTACACACTCTTGTACACATTCTTTTGCATCCTTAGCGATCTAGTAAGGAAAAAGTATCATAAAATCATTAATGAAGACATAAGACTTCAAACAACTCACCAGAAATTCCTCAAAGAGTACATCAGATAATAGCGGAAGCATCCCAAAACCCAATGATAATACCCATTTAGGCAACATCTGCATAGCGAACCACTGGATGTCCTCACTGCTCTACACAAGACCAGCTGTAACATGATTGTACCCATGTTTTACTATTTCAAGCAGCACAGCCAACTGCCAGCATCTCCTGAAGTCCTAGGTTCTGTACAAGCTTTTACACACAGATGCTTCTGGTTTTGTTCACCTATGTCTCTTCAAATCTCTTCATTACAATGTCACAGCCCACTTCCCCTCCTTTTTAAGAGAATTGGTAGTTTCAATCCCACTGCAGTATATTCCCACAAATTCAGCAATGACAACTATTTTTATCCTGCCCAGATTCAAGGACTAGAATATACACCTAGCAGCAACCCTTTCTAATGCTTTAGTATTCTGGTATAAATTTACCAAATGAGAATTCAAATGAAGAAACATATGCCCCTGGCAAGAATTAAATAACTAAATTTGATTACAGTTTTCAGCCAGACAAAAGTCATTTAACTGATTTAAAATTACAGCAAGTATTACTCATGATTACTTGGGAAGCTGACAGGAGTCAACAAAAAGATTATCATAAACAAGATTCTTATTCTTCACATGAAAAGAACCTAAAAAACTGAAGCAGTAACTGTGTGCAGTCTTCACTAGTTCCTCTGGTATTTTCAGACACGTGGGGTGAGATTTTCCGAAGTCATCAGCCAGCAGCTTCCCTTGCAGTTTTTCACAAAAAACCATCCTGATTTTTCAAGATAGCTCTACATCCCATATGCTAAATTCTTGAGAAAAATCTCATCTTGATCACTAAAAATTTATGACAATATGGACTAGGGTAGAGCTTTTCACAGCAAAGTTATAAATGTAACATCCAGATCTCCAGAAAGCCCAGAACACTATAAAATACAAGCAGATGCAAGTAAATTATGTCTTGTTTCTATTTAGCGATCTCCAAAAAGAGAGATTAGTTTTAGCTAGAGGAAATGCTCCTGTGGCTGGAATTATATTGGAATACAATAGAAAAACAGCAAGTCATAGGAGCCCTGCAAAGGCTTAAGATAAACAGGTAGAATGATGAAATACTTATACAATCACCAGCTCAGCAGAATGGATTAAAAAGTCTATTCTTAGAAGTAAGAAATAAATAAGGTTTTCAATAACTGGCCTTATCTGCTCCACGGTATAAAGCAAACTTCTTAGGTCACTAACATTTGGGTATGTGAATATTCAGGTGATAGAAGGCTAATCATTCTCTTTCCTTTAGGATGAGCCCTGGATTTCTATTTCAGCCAAAATGATTCACTTATTCCAAATTTATGCACCTCAATGAAAGCAGACTAAATCTCTCAAGAGAATTGCATAGAAAATATTCTTAGTGATTGTCATCAAGTCTGATCCTTTACAACAATGCCAGAGAACGCATCTTAGAAAAAGGAAGCTCTTGAAAGCCCTATGAAAAATAGTTCTGGATGCTCTAATTACAGCAGTTACTAAAAGCTTTCAGAAATCTAAGAAAAATGGACTTGGTTGCAATCACCTCCTGCTCCTGGGGCTTTTTTCCCCCCTTTCCTTTTATAACACTTTTCTCCAATAGACTAGTATCATTTGGAAAAATATGTTGTTCTAATCAGCTCAAGTTCACTGAGAGGAAGGAATAAACTCATTAACACACTTTCTTTACCAGACAACTGTATTACCTTTCCTGTTTGGGGTATGGCATTTTTCATTATCCTTGCCACATTGGCGATTGGAAGATATATATCTTGTTCTCTAAAACTCTCTTTTGAGCCATTTGTATCTTCATGATCATTCATACTGTCTTCTGTGTCTAATGAAATGAAGACAAGTTAATAGAAATTATATTTGATAGACAGCAGGCAATAATTCAGTTGAAAATCTTACACTGAAGGATGAAGACCTTTGAAAGCACAGTGTGTTAACATCATAGAAATAATTTTTAAAATAGTTGCAACATCAGGGTACCTTTATAAAGATAGCATTTTGTCACATTATGCACAGAAGTGTACGTGGCTGCTGATCACCAACCATTCTTAATGCCATGTCAAAATACAAACTGTTTTCTTAGAATGTCAATTTTTTTGTCATTCCCTCAAGGTTTCTCTGCCAACATCAAAAAATTCAACCTCCCCCCTTCAAATTGCAGAAAAAATGCTTTATACAATGAGGCATTATGAAAACAATGGCAAATTCTTAGCCTGAGAGAAAATAGCAAAGAATGATACAAGAAGAAAAATATATACACACATATGCAGAGTAAAAGTAGTATTTACTCTCATTTCTTACCATCATGAGGCTGTATCACATAGTGACTGCCACCAATGTAATCTCCAGCAATTCCTAACTGAGAAGCATCTGTTGTGGAGCTGTCACCATCCATCTACAAATGGAAGAAGGAAACCTTTCAGGTGTGATTGTTACATCACTAAGTGCAGCTATTACTCAAACCCGGCACATTAATCAAACTATGAGATCAATTTATATATAGCATAAATATTTTATTATTAGAGAACAGCATTGCCACTGTCATTCCTGAGTTTTATTGACAGTGGAAATAGTTAAACTATTTTTTGTGGCTTCCCAAAAAACCCAGCCAGAGGCACAGGCCATGCACAGAATCATTTGGTTCATGTAGCACATTGAGATTCTGACCAGAACACGCAAGATGTCTCTGAAAAACCCTCAAAACCTACAGCAGCCCCTGTTCACTGAATGCTTTACCTATCAATTACTGCACAGAGTGCATCCTTCACTCACCTTTACCCTCCATGTTGGTTTGTCAAGCCCACTGACAAACTTGGAGCAAGACCGTGGGACCAGCTTTTCATCCTCATCCTCCCCAAGACACCAGTTACTCCTATGTGCCTTCTGACTCATGTTTTAGCATTCCCTGGTCCTGCCCTGCCTCACTCTCTGGGCATCCTTAGGTGCTCTTCTCTCAATGTTCTGATATGGTGGCCAACAAGATTTGTTCATGAGGCTTTGGAGATGGGGGCAGTCACAGTTTAATAGCTAACTTTAATGCCAGGAGAAAAAGGGAAGCCAAAAGAGCCTGTACTTTCCTCCTTCTTACTGACACACATAGCCCCTGGGGAGGCAGAGCCCAGCTGACTTCACTCACTGACCCCATACCCACTGTGTGGGTACTCTGAAGGATCACATGGTTGTTGCTATTGTTGTTGTGAACCACAGAGCTCACTTTTTTGCACACCCATTACCCTGAAGAGGGAGAGAAGGAGGGAGGGAGAAGCAATGTTGTACCACTTTTACACCTACTGAGAAATATAAGCATTTAACCTCTCACTAATCTGCACTTTTCTTGTGGCCACAGGGTTGAGTTTCACTCTGAAACCTTCAAGCAATGTCCAGTGTTACACTTGGCCACAGACGCACAAATAACACGAGCGCTGCTCACATTCCAACAACAGCTGGATGGAGCCTTTGGAGCTGCTCAAGAGAAAAAGACTCTTCCAGTCTTCTTCATTGTACAGAATAATACACATGCTTTTATAAAGAACTTCAGGTCCCTTTTGCTGGGCCTTTGTAAACAAGCTTCAACTTACACACAGCAGTTCTAATCAAAGGAAGGGCAGTATTTTAGGCATTAACCTTCCATGTGCCAACCTTCACATAAATTCACTTCGTCCACATTTTCTAGACACTAGGGAGATTTAACTTTGCTTTTCAACCTCCCAAAGAGTCTGCAGTTTGCTCACTCAGCTTACTGTAACAACAGTGCAAGGATATTACAATCCTGCATGTCATGATCACCAAAACCACACATCATTAAGAGAATCATGCCTCTCTCTTCCTTCTGGACTTCAAAGCAATTAAAATTGCAGTCTGGTAAATCCCAAAAGCTACCTCCAAAATTAAGTTAGGGTTTTCTGGTAGTCTTGTTCGCAGTTTTGGCTCTTTGATCCCTACTAGAATTTAATTTAGGATCTCAACAATCTTTACTCAGCTCCAGTATAAGGTATTTTAAATACCTTGATCTTTCTTTCCCTCTCTTTTTTCAAACTTCCGTGAAACATTTATCTAATATATTTCCTTCCTCCAGGGTTGCAATACTCTTCAAATTTCTGCCATGATGCGATAACTAGCTGGTTTCTGCTCACCTCTCCTGCAGGCTACTCCATCTGAATCTTTATTGCCAAGACCCAGCAACACTAAGAAATCATCTTGCTTTCATTAGCCAGCTTGCCTTTAAAAGACAATTCCTGCTTGAATCTCTCTCAAACCTCTGCTGCATCTACAGACAGTTTTGGTCATATTAGACTAATGCATCCTCAAGGTAATACCTTTGCTTCTGTTCTTTTCTGTGTGCACATTTCCAGATCTACTTACAGGATGTATTACTTCACTATTAGTAGGAATTTGTGTGGATGTTTATCAGCACTATGAATCTAAAATAGTGGTTAGCAAAATTGTCAGGAAAAGGCTTGCAACAGAAAAAGGCAGATCTGACTCAGATAAAGAAAACAGGCACTGATAGCTTAGCATCAACTGAAATTGTATTACAAGTTGTATTATAAGTTAGTATTACCTGGAGAAAGAGTTTCAGCTGCCAGGACAACCTTGGGAGAGGAGACTAGGGACAGCACTAACACCCTTCTGCATAATGTTCAGGACTGCTCCTGACCCAGGACTACAGGATAATTTATGTTGGAAGTGGCCGTGGGAGGTCTCTACTCCAACCCCTGCTAAAAGCAGGGTCAGCTCTGAGCTCAGAGCAGAGCACTCAGGGTTTTCTCCAGCCACATCTTGAAGGCCACCACAGACAGAGCCTGCCCAGCTGCCCCACGAGCCTCCTCCACAGCCCGGCTCACGTCACAGTGAGGGAGGCAATGGATCTCAGCACATTACTTCAATCCAAGTAAGTTGATGGAAGAACTTCAGCCAGAGTTGTCATTCAATTCAAATCTAGATCCAGGTATCTGAATATAGCAACTGTAATTAATATGCCATCCAAGTCACCCTACTTGTATTTCTTTGAGCCCGATGGATGACAAACATGACCTTGCAGAAAAATGTGGCCACTGTTATCCCAGTCATCTCATAATAAACAGTTACATGCTCACACATTACAGCTTTCATTTCAGATTGTCAAAACTCCAGCCCATCACCACATTATCTGATTGTAAAGCTCAGCACAAGTTCTATAATACATACAACAACAATTCAGAAAATAAGAAAACACTGTTCTCACTACATTGTTGCTATTTAATCCCCCTCCTTTAAATAAACAAAAACCCCAAACAACCAATAAAACCCCTCCAAAACCATGACACAAACTAAATTCTGTGTCCTTGAAGTTGCTCTGGAAAGGCAGCAGTCCAGCGTAGAACAGAAGCAACACCTTGTCTACACTAACTGCAGTCACTGGGAGACTAAAAGGGCCAACAGTTCTTACACTGGCCCTTTTAGTAGGAAGACCTACTACTTTAGATTGAAGTAGATACTAGAATAGGCAAAATTCTGGGTGCTCTAATCCTAAAAGGTTCAGGTGGGCAAGAACTCTCCTCTCAGATTTTGCTTTAGACTGCCAAGTTGTCACAACTTGCTTTAAAGAGAAGTAGCCATTTACAGATTAGACGTCACATTTGCACAGCAGTTTTAGCATGCAAACACTGCAATGCCTTTCAAAACAAGACCATCTCCTACCTCTGTGTGGCTGCCAAACTGCACAAGGGAAGGCTTCCAACACCTCAGTCCTCCAGTGCACGACTGCAGGAAGCAATTACTACAGGTTGTACATTATCCTCAGCCTCCAGTGCTAAGAAGACACTGAAGCTCCTCCATGCATACACATGGACTGAAGCAAGACTGAGAGCTAAGCAGATCAGAAGTGACATGTCAGTCTCTAAAATGACCATGCCACTGTCTGATTTTATCAACAACCAGGGAGAGTAAACAAGTACAGGATACAAACGTTCAGCACTACACTGCAAAAGAAAAATCTGAATATAGAGCAGCAGCACAATGTTTTCTGTTGGCGGTTTCTGTTCTGTTTTTCCATCTCTAATAAAGAAAGAATATTACTAGGGATATACAAACTACTTGATGCATGGAAATTAAACAAAGAAATATGTTAAAAGAGAAACGTTTCAAGGGCAAAGATTAAGTGATAAGATACAAGTGAATGAACATACAGGTTTACACTGACATCTGGCATAAATATTCTGGAGGATGCTTAAAAAAAATTTACTCCTGTCAGCTACCTGCAATCCAGACTGCTCCTATAATATATCTATACTGAACTAATAAAACACCAGTATCTCAAAGTAAATCTTGCATCCTGTTTAATCTTATAAGCTCTCTTAAGAGCGCAGTCAGTATCAGTGGCTCAGCTAAATGATAACTAAAGAAGAATGCAAGCCCAAACCTGCTAGCACTGAGAAGGGACTAAAGCTTAGATCAGTATAAAAGGAAAAAAAAAGAAGAAACAAGATTTTTGTTTTCAGAACAGGGAAGTTATCTGGCAATGATTTGCAAACTGCCCCCTTGAAGGGAAACCAAAGGCCTCTTGTGATTTAAGCATTTCATGTGGAATTTATTCACCCTGTCTCCCAAAACTGCTACCCTACAAGACGGGCAGTAGAAAATGATATGCAATGAACTGAAGCGCTTGGTACACGTTCCATGCAGTCATGTCTGCCAAACAAGCAGGACAGAAACAATATCTAAAGCTGTAGGCAATAACTACATCATTCACGACCACACCTTATCATGAGAGGTGTAAAGCTGTAACAGCAGAGACACGGTTTTATTTGAGCTTTCTGCACCCTCTCCTGTTAAGCAGAAAGATTTCTCAATTGAAAATACACCTTCAATTTCCTTTTATTTTTCAGTGACTTCTGGGCATCCTAATTTCCAACTTAATTCTCACCTGCAGCAAAAAATACCAACTGGTGAATGCATTCACAGGACATTGTTCCAGCCCATACACAAAAATGTAAGACTAAACCCCTTAGTACATAGCTAGAACAAAACCAGATGCTGCACTCTCTCCAGCTCAGGCTTCTATAATCCCTTACATTCAGTGTTTTCCCCCACAGCAGAATAACACTGGGAAAAGCAGACTGATCCTGAGAGGACCAGACAGTGTCACCAAGGCTCATTAGCATCTGGGCTGTACCAGGTCCTTCCCCTGGCCCACGGGGAGGAAACTTTCCCTTATGAAATCCAAAGAGGGCATTGCCACCTTTCACTCCATGCAACAATCAACTTTGTCTTATCTTACAAGCCCCAATGCCAGTGACTACAGGCCCCCTCCACATGGATCCAGCTATGCTAGGGCAGCTGGTGGCTTCTTCCCCGGCTGGCTAACATCCACAGGCACTGTTAGCTCCAATATATATGGCTGAGCTAAAACTTCATGTATTTTCACATCAAGGAGGAATGGGTCAGTGATACAGAGCAAGCAGGAAAAACTGAGTTTCCATGCAGTGTCTTTTTTTGAAGTAGAAGAGATAAGCTGGAGGGGAAAATAAATATGATGAGAAGAGGAATTGAGGCAGTTTAGTTGCTTTTACAGAAGCTGCAAGAGGAAAACAGTGCTGAACACACTGCACCAGCACCTCCTTCCTTCAGCAACCTAACTGAAATTCCTACATTACCTTTCAATAATAAGTTTTTGATACTTTTCTAGCATTTTTGTGAAGAATTAAGCTTATCTGTTTATTAAGCAGCAATCTATAAATCCTGTCTTTTAGAAGTTTGATAACCTTTTTAAGTAAGTTATTTTTCCTTTGTTGAGGTAGTAACTCAGGTATGCCAAGCAGCTTCTTCCTCTCAAGCAACAGGGCAAGTAAGAGTTCTACAAAGCTAGTTCAGACCAGACCAATATTTTCAGCCAAAACTAGTGAATTTGCTGACACTTGCTTTTATTCTATCAATGTTATTTACCCGTATTGTTTAGTATGCATATACATAATCACGTTTTGCTCTTTTTACAAGCATCCTGCCACTAATATATCAATTTCCAAATACTGAGTTTCTTTAAAACATTACTGCAAAACTCAGTAGTAACAGCCAAGTTTCTTTCTAAACAGAATTTTAAAGGTGGAGCGCCATTAGATTTACATTTTAAAACAGTAAAGGAAGAACCTTTCAAACCTTTTTTAAATGTTGACAAAACAAGGTATCAGACTTTCAAAGTTTCAGTGTTTAATGTTTCATATCTTGACATTATCTTAAACATTCTTTTTCATTCAATTTCTGAACATTGCCTCCCTCTATGTAATTATTACCACAAATAAGAGTTAAGCTTTGAACTGCTGTGACTGTCAAATCCTGAAGTCTAAAAGAAAAACACCCAGTGCTCCTAACTTCTCCCAGCATAATGTCATAGCTGTAAATTCCAGCAGCCAAGACAATGTATAACCAGCCGCTCAATGCACAGCACAAAAGCAACTCACACAGGCCTCAGAATGATTCAGATTGAGCCACCTCGGGTGTCCTAGAGGATTGCAGATGGATCCTGCCTTTACATTACAACTGTCATGCCACAGGCCACATAAGCAAAGAAAAAAAGAAAGCAACTGCAAGCTCATTGTTTAGGAACAGTATGCTAATGATTTATATAAAGACACCATTTCTCCATTCCTGCAAGCCAATTAAAGCCATACTCTGAATACTGACCAAAGTGGAACCTGCGATCTTCCTTTTTCCTACCATTTTGCCAGAGCTTCTTTTGAGAATGCTGATTTTTTTTTTTAATTGACAATAACTGCCACCTATCAAGATGCCAAGGAATGGTTACTACATGTAACAGAGTCCATGAATGGGCTGAAATCCAGATTTCTGTGCTCCTCAATGCCTAGAAATGTTATCAATAATTTTGCCATCCCAAAAGCAAGCCAAGCATACTAGGTAGCTTTTACCTGACAGCTCTTTTCAGAAAAAAATCTTTTTGGTTAAGCCACAAAGAAATTGTTAAAGCTAACACTGATTTTCTACTGCTGCTATACTGCAGAAAAAATAAATAAATATATATATGCAGAAGCATTACTAGAACACATGACTTTTTTATTGTTTTCCAATAGGATTGTCTGTGAATAACCTCGACAGTACTCTTCAGGATCACCAACTACATAATTTCTGGAGGCAGAACAGTGGCTAGCACACACAGGTCTGCTCAAGAACACCTGCCACACACAGAAAAGTTGTGTAGACATTGATAAAGGCAGGGTCCCGTCTTTCTCCCATTTGCCATGTGTCACAGGACAAGTGCTGATGCCACCCAGTTGCATCTGTGCCACTGCGAGCCGATCGATCCCATTTCCCGATTTCATGCCCTTCAATGATGCAAACGCAGCCAGCGCGGGGGCACGGGGGACACCTTCCTACTTACACCAACAGCCTCCGAGCCTTCCTGGCACTCAGCTCACATCTGCTCGAGAGGTAACTCGTCTATCGTGACCCCTTGTTTACAAATGGCACAAGACGACGAGCCCTCAGTTAATGAGCAACTTTATTGTTGGTCACCTTGGCTGCGATTTCCGCGCTACCCGCACCTGCCCGCGGCCGGCCGGGCGCCTCTGCCGGGACCCGCGCAGCCACCGAGGCCTCGCATTCCCGCCCGCACGGCCAGCCGGGTACTGCCACCACATCCCAGGGCCTCGCCCTACGCTCATCTCTGCAAAATACCGCCAAATATTCCACGAAATTTCGGTCCCGACAACGGCGCGGGGGGGACGGGGAGGAGAGACCGGGCCGCTGTGGCCTCCCTGCCCGGCTCCCAGCCCGGCCAGGGGCCGTGGGCGTGGTGGGGGGTCCTGGCCCCTCGCTCCCGCGGCGAGGGGAGGGGGCTCGGCCGGGCGAACACAAAAGAGCACGGAGCCCCCTCCGCCCGGCGCGGCCACCACAAAGCCGCGGCCCCGGGACACAGCGAGCGCGGCCGGCGCGGAGACCGAGGGATGGCGGGAGGCCGTGCGCTCCGCGAGTGCCCGCCGCTTCTCAGCGGGCGGTGCGGGGTAGCGGCCGGCCACGGGGCAGCTCCGCCTGCTGCCCCCACCCCTGCCTAGGCCGCAAAATGGAGCCGGAGCGGGGAGGGCCGCGCGGAGAGAGCGGGACACCGGCGGGGGCAGCCGCCCCGCCGCCCCTGCCGACACCCCCCTCGCCGCCACCTCCCTCTCTGCCCGCCCGCTCCGCTCCGCTCTGCTCCCCTCCCCGCCCGCCCACCCTGCTCGGCTCCCCGGCCGCGCGGCCCCCGCGGCTCCGGCCGCACAAAGCGACGCGCGGTCGGTGCGGGGCCCGAGGCGGCAGCCCCGCACTTCCTGGTGCCCGCGGCGGCGGCGCGGCGGCAGCGCCGGGGCCCGGGGAGGGAGACGGACATTTCATTCGAGCCTGCAGTGGAACCGGTTACCAATCATTGGCCGGAGCCAGGCACAAACCTCCAGTGCGGCCCTGGTTGGCTCCCTCCGCAAATCGGCTGTTTGGTTGGACGGAAAATGGCTGCGAAGGAACCAGTCCCAGCGCGGAGCCCCGCTTCCCGCAGCCGGGCTGCCCTCCCTCCGCGCCGCCTCCCCGCCACTCGCGCCGGCTCTTCCCTCAGCGCGCGCCCTCCCGCCGGGCCGGCCTGCCCGCCTCCTTTATGGAGCGGCCGGGCCGGGGGGCGCCGGGCCCGCCCCGCCCGCGCGGCGCTGGGGCACAGCGGCGGCACAGCCGGGGCTGCCACCGAGGGCTGCCACCGAGGGCTGCCCTCGCCACAGCTCCGTCCCGCAGGGCTGCTGCTGCTGGCCATTGTGTAGCGGGGCCTCTGACCAGGGGCAGCCCTGCGGCCTCGGCCTCACAGAACCACAAATGGGTCAGCCTGGAAGGGACTACAGTGTGTCAGCTGGTCCGACCTCCCGGCTCAAGCAGGGTCATCCTAGAGGACAAGGCACAGGATTGCATCCAGGAGGCTCTGGAATATCTCCAGTTAGAGAGATTCCAGTCTCTCTGGGCAACATGTTCCAGTGTGTGGTCACCACACAGTAAAGAAGCTCTTCCTCAGGTTCGGGTGAAACTTCCCGTGCATCAGTTTCTGCCCGTTGTCTCCTGTCCTATTGCTTGGTACCACCAAAAATGCGTGGCTTCATCCTCTGACACCCTCCCTCCAGGTACTGATGGACATTGATGAGGTCCCCTCTCAGTCATCTCTTCTTGAGGCTGAACAGGCCCAGCTCCTCCAGCCTTTCCTTGTAAGAGATGCTCCAGTCCCCCAGTCGTCCTTGTTGCCCTGGGAGGTGGGAGCTGGGGGAGAGTGGCCAGCTGTGTCCCACTGGCCTTGTCCCTGGCCTCACCTGCCTGTTGTCTCAGCAGCCAGTGTCTGCTGTCAGCAGGGCAGGCACCATTAGTTCCTTAGGTTCCTTAGATCTGTTCCAGCCTGTCCCACACATGCATCAAGAATCACCACCTGAGAGGGGAATAGGTTACATCCCCAGCGACTTCCTACATTTTGCAAAGCCTGAGAAAGAAGAGACTGATGAAGAGGAGGAGTTCCATGAAGGAGGAGGATGGCTTATGGAACCCAGGTCCAACCAACCATTTGGTGGAACAGAACCTTGAGTGAGGGGGTCTGTGGGTCTGCATTACCCCCTTCCCCCAAAAAAGTAAAATTTCACTGCAAACCAAAAAGGATCGTTTCCCCTGGTGATACAGGCCTTAAAGAGAACGGGTTTTTTTCCACTTTTAGGCTTTGTTCTGAAGAAATACGGGCTGCTGACTGAAGATATTAGTTGGATTGACTTCTCCACTGAGATTTATAAACTTCTCTTATGAAGCATTTAAATGAAACACTTCATAATCCACCAGTCCCCCCATTCACTAGAATCAGAAGGCAGCCCAAGACATTCCACAAATCTGCCACCAACATATGTATGTGCAATCTCCACAACTGAGGTAATAAGAATATTTTTGGCTTGTGCAGCTCTTAATAACCTGTAGTAATTCTTTATTTTTTGAGGGTCTTAAATATTTTAACTAAACTAGTGTGAAACACATTTCACAATAGCTTCTGCTAGCATCCTCTCCTAGTTAATATCTGATAAATACAGTATACTCCTAGCTCTCTTCTGGTACTGGGATTTACACAAAGTAGAACTCAATAAACCTTATACATTTCCACATGGTTTCACATAACAACATTCGTTTCATGTGCTTTGACATATAAAGATTTAGTTTCACTCAAAATGTCCATGTATTTGGATTGTTTTGAGTTTAAAGTGAAACATCAAGCAAGAAGAATTTTGCATGGCCATGGGTTTTTACTGCAAATGCTATATGCAACTTAATGCTGCCTCTTGGGTACTATGAGCATTAATTTTTTTTTAATCCCTAGAAGATGTTAAGTAGTGCAAGAATATTCACTAAGCATGGAATCTTAGGGGATGTGTTTTCCCCTTTATATATTTTATAGCTTGCATTCACTAAGTACAATGCCATGACAATACACTAGTAATCTGTGCACACTTAAGATCTTTGGGTGGATTTTGTCATGTCAGCCCAGAATTTCACAAGTGATTAGAAAGATGAATGCTGACCAGTGTGCAAGTTTTTCAGGGCACAGAGCAGACAGTGCCCTTTCTTGAGCTGCTATTTGCTAGTTTTGAATCTTCTTGAAAACACAGCCCTCAATTTTTTCTACTGCACTTTTTTCAAACTTGAAATGAAAATATTGTTTCTCCTGTTGTTTTTTTTTACTTTATCAATGTTGTGTTGATGGAAAAACTGCTTATCCACTTCTACTCAGCACCTTTCCTTAGGACAGCATAGTGGGAACAAGTATTCACTGTTACTGGTGACAGAACAGCACCCAGTGGTTAAACTTGTCAGCCAGCTGGAGCCAGGGAATCCCAGCCAGCATTCCCATTTACATACATTTAATTTTGTGTTCCTCCATTAGTAACAATTTTTGTCACACACACATACGTTTTATTTAGTGTTCTTGTCACTCAGTCTTCAATTGGTTTGTTATTTTATTCCTATGCTAAGTATACTCAAAAGCTCCATATTTTGTGAGGGCTAGCTGTGACCTACCTCCTGAGACTGTCATTTTGTGCCTAAAATTTTCAGTGAGGAAATCAAAATCTATATATTCTGTTGTATTTAGTAGGTGTTAGCTAAGTGAGCAAGTATGCTTCTTTAGACCAGAACAGATACATCAGCTTGTTCCAGAATGTGCCTTACTTATGCTGTGGACTCTGTCATCTGGAAAAATATGTGCTTGAAATAAGAAATTCCAATTTTTGTAGAAATAGCACTGGATGTAGGATGGGTGAGTTGTTCATGTAACTTTCTCCAGAGTTCTCAAAACTGAGATTCTTAGTGTAATAGACTGGAAATAGGTCTGTCATCAAACTGTGAACCCCATGGGGCTTCAGGAACTTGTATTCATTCTTAATAGTGATCTTTCTAATGTTCATTATCTTCTTTGTTTGTTTTTGTAGATCAGAGAGTTCTTATTTGTATTTGACAATCCTAAATAAAAGATACTTGAAGCTGCTACAGAGTTAAGCAATGCTATCTGAAAAAGATGAAATGTGGAAATCCAGAAGAAGTTATCCAGAGGTAATTAGCCAAGTCAGAGTGGGATGAGACCAGATGGAATTAAACAAAGACATTTTTATTTTTTAAGGATGTTGAAAAATTCTTTAGCTAACCAACCGTGCCTTCCTTTTAGATAGTATTCCCCCTTTAACAGTAAAATTTCTGCTACACTTGGAAGGAGCTGGGTTCTCAGGTGGCCTTTGTGCTGTGTGATCCCACAGCTCTGAAGGGGAGACACGTACAGTGTCTGCACTGTGCCAGTGCACCTTGAGAGGCAGATCTAGAAGAGTAGCTAGCTTTGATGCTCATGCCACGAGGACCAAAGGATGTGTTTATTCACAGCAGACTGGTATCCCGCCAAAGAGGGGGCTGGGCAGGTGCAATTCTGAAATTACTACATCCCATTTAGGATTTATGGTCCAAAGAGCAAAGTGCATGCTTGGATACAATTCCCAGGCCTATTGCATGCTTCTTGTATGACCTTGGGCAAATTACTGTAAATCCAAGCCATCTGATTTCAATTGAGATGTGCAAGTCTGAATTTTAATCATATTGTGCCTCAATTCCCCATCTGCTGAATCAGTAGCAATTTTATATTCCTATCTTGAGCTGAACTGCGAGTGCCTTACTGGGAGAGCGGGAGAGGTGGTAGTACCAGAGGTAAGAAATTACAAGTGAAACTATTTTCTGAAGGCCTCTTCAGACCAAGCTGCTGTGTGCAAATCCCTATGGACAACTTAATTAATTTTTGAGCCTTTTCCTCACTACTGCTCAACTGCCTTTCCTTCACAGGATGCACAGAAATTATTTTGAGACATATTCCACTAAGTAAATTTTATTAAAATTGACTAGTGTTTCAAAATTTATTAGGGGAGCTAAGCCAGATAGGCTGTACCTAATGCCTAAATCTTGTTCCTTTAGAGAAAAGAAAAACCAACTTACTGTTTTCACGAGTGG